AATAACAGAAACCTCAAGAGCAGAGCCCTGCAGTGGCAAGCTGTCTTCGAATCTCCCCACCCCGGCAGCTCCCCTCACAGCTGGCCATGTGAAATGGTAAAACACCGTCCTGGAATTGTAGGCGTTTAACTGTTAATTCTGTTCTGCAGTCTTGGCATGGAAGTGAATGCCTGTGTCATTTATAAATCACCTACAATTCTCTGTAAAAATTGTTTGGTTTCAAATTTGCCTCAAATAATTTTTGAAACCGCTGTGATGTGCAACATGTGCTGGATAGATCGTGATAAACGAAAATGTGATCGTGTAAAATATATAATCACTTAGGCTGCAATATTAGGGATGCTTTCAGTATATAAATTGTGATTTATTGATTTGAGGAAGACTGGCATTGTATTAAAGGTGGTAAGGTATCTGCAAATAAAAATACTCAAAGTGGATTTTAGAAAACTCATGAAACAAGAAGGAAACTGCTCAACAATATATGCAGTATTGTAATATCTACAGCATTGTGATATGAAAACTTTTATCTGCTTATACAGGGAATGAAATGGGAAGGACAAATGTGAGATTTCAGAAAGTTTGCATGGTCTTTGTTTGTGACAAAACACTCCACTGGTGTTCATCTAGTTAAGAAGCTCCTTATCTTCAAAAGCAACCATTATAGGTAGAGCTGACATTTTTTTCTTCTTTGAGGACAGCATGTTGATATTGATTCTTTTGATATGAAAATCATGATAATGCAAATGAATTCAACATTTGTAACAAAAGAAAAACACTGTGTGACTTACACATGGTATGTTGGTGTCTTTCAGCTCTGTGGCAAACCAGTGAGGTTTGTGTCCTTCACCTGTATTTCCCAATGGCCTGTCCCCTTGTTGTCCCCTGTTGTCTGTTTCTATTTTGTTTGATTTCATTGCCGTCACAGATGTCTGTTCACAACTTGGGGCGATGAAGTTGTGAATAACTACAATAACTGCATATGTAAATCCATAAAAGCACAGTTCCACTAAGGTGTGCTGGCAAAGGGCAGTCTATACCACGGGTCATATGTGGAAACAGTATTCCTAGGAAATATTCCTTTTGGCCTGCATTGTTCTGTGTTTGTCCTTTGAGCCGAAGGGTGACGTCTGTTTTAGGTCCTTTTTGGGTAAAGATGCTCATCTCTCTAGTGGCTCAAGCAGCAGTGTGTATGGTGTATGGTGTGGACCACACAGATGTAGTTCATGGTGCAAGCAACACAGGCCTTTGATAGGAGTTTCAAGGGGCTTTGGAGTGGAAATGTGTGAAATGGTCTGTATTTTGGTCCTTTCTGGGGTGATTGTGGTCGAGAGGCGTTCAGTCCTAATCCCACAGCTGGGAGCTCCTGGCAAGCACAGCCCCCAGTGTCTGGACCTGTGGTCTGTGTAGCAGTTCACCTGGAACTGAGACTCCACTTTGAGTCAGTTGAAACGCAATTATCCTGCCCTTCTTTGTTCAGATCACTGGAGAAATGTTGTAGGAGCCCTGTGACAACTAAAATTTCACGTTTTTGTTTTCCCACTTATGAGGAATCTGCCTTTTGGGAAAAGTGGGCTAGTTTCTTATCCCTGTGGCAAATGCAACACTGTGAGAGAAAGAAATGTACTGTTGTGAAGAACAGTTTGAGTCTCTTAAAAGAAAGCTGTCTGCTGTGGATTTTCCCTGGCCTGGTTTGTGTTGTCAGATTGAAAGAACATTGAACCCCCTGGCTTGAAAAGGGCTGTGGAAGAAGCTTTGAAAAACACAGCAGACGTGTATCTCTTAAGAATGTCACACTCAGGGAATGGACAGTCAGCTTCAGTTTGTCTTTTGGTAGTTATGTTGTGGTCTAACAGATTTCTTACCTACTCCAGGGTTGGTAACTGCTTCATCACCACCGTGCGTGTCCTTAACTTGGTGAGGTGACTCACTCAGTGGGTTTTGCAAGCTTGGAGACTGGCTGCCATAGATAGTTTAAGCGGCTTTGATTCATTGTGGAGGACTGCAGCTCTGAATCCACCTCTGCTGATGTGAAAGGCGAATGTTTAAGAGAGCAGCTCTAGTTTCTACTGTGCTCGGCTTACCCTGAGAATCTAAGGCTATACGATTCTTTCACAGTGTGGACACATTACTATGATTGAATCAGCTGGTTTGTGTCTAATTACACTGCCCCTTTTTTTCCATACAGTGTTGGAGAATTTCACCCAGGCCTGGAGGTCTTTCTGCAGCAGTGCACTTGAAAGCTGAGGTGTTTCCTGTTGCGCGTGTTGTTTCACGATTTGGTTTAGGCCGCTTGCTGCTGCGATGGTTGCTTAGCTAGAAAAGCCTTTCCACTGGTTTCAGTTCTCCCATTACCTATCCCAGGCAAACTCAACTCGTGTGTACATAGTAGCTCACCTAGGGAATCATATAAGTGGGATTTTGGTACATCAGGCATATACTGTATAGTGGGCAAAAGAATTATTGGCATCCTTGAAATAGATTGACAAAAAAAAGCTGCATAAAATAAACAACACGCGTAATTAGCTACATTATATCCCTGAAATGGTACTACTGGCTTTTATTTTGATACAGTTATTTCAAAATACATGTTTTTAAATGAGTAATCTTAGTTTTTTTCTAAAAAATGTCCAGGGGAACGTTTTTGGTAGTAGCTCTACCAAGATCTACCCGTCTTACAAAAAGATCCACTGGAGGCAGGAGGCTGTGTGAAGGCCGTTTGTCCTTTTTCTCCATCTGCAAGGCTGATGAGGTTTTCTTGAGCATTTTGGTGGAGCTGCACATTGGTGGTGGTGGGGGGACCCCCAAGCTAAAGCGCTTTGAGTGGAGGGTCCAGAAAAGACGTAAGCTATTATTATTATTAATAATAATAATAATAATAATATTATTAAGGCCTCTCTCACATGTTGGCTCAGGGGCAAGAGCTGTTTTGCCAAGACTTCAGGTGCTCATTTATTAACCAAACTTTCGACAGAAATCTAGAAAAAAGTCCTGTCCACAATTATTACCCAGCCCGAAGACTATGATTTAATCTGCCATTTTATAGAAGCCAGTCGCTTTCCTCCCTCCCAGTAAGAGACTGAGTTTGCTTGCTACTGTGTATATGTGGATTTTTAATTGAAATGCACAGTTAATGGTGATTGTTGTTTTGTTAACTCCAAGGCTGGTCAGGCCTTTCTCTCTCGTTAGCCAACACAGTTCTGTGTGCAGGATGAGCTGCTAGTACTTGGCACCCATATCCTCTACTAACAGTTCAAATAGGGTTGTTTTGATAGGGCTGTCAACACATGACGTTACTAAGCACATTGTGTCGCACAATGGGCAGACGCCCGTTCAGGTGCCACTTGTTACTGGGGTTGTCAAAGCCTTGCAGTCACTGTTGCTGTGCTGCTGTTACAAACCATTATACCACATCCAGCTGAGTCTGCCTAAAATGTGGTTATCGGCAACTCTGAATGGGCTTGGACCCTGTTGTGCGGTGAATCTTCACGTACGTCGTCTTCAAAAACAATATAGGTTTTCCATCTCATTTGATTCATCCTCATTCATCAGAAAGCACTGGGACCTGTTTGTTTTTGCCAGCAGCTGGTCCACGATGTCCTCTCCTGGCAACAGTGTGGTCGGACAGCTGAACTTCTCCTGCTCTGCAAGCTGTCGTGTCCCCAGATAGCTCGCGGTAGATCTTCTGTAGTAAGGAGACTCAGTTCTTCACCAATTGTAGAAGCCTTTTTAGCTTTGGTTTCAATGTGCCTCTCAGTGCAGCTCTGTTCCTGCTGTGTATGTGGTAAGCAGTTGATTTTGTCCTACAAATTACTTTTCCATTTCAAAGAAATCTCCCATTTCTTCCTCTGAGGGCGGGAAGTTCAGATCTCATGCACTACAAAGTGCATATATAATATAAGTGCAGAGTTCTTTTGGAACGTGTGAATCATGCAACAGGTTAAACCACAGTTTGTGCATTTTGTCACCCTTGGACTGAAAGATGCTATTTTCATTTTTTCTTAGCATTCTACATCCTCTGCACAGGTCTGCTCACTCAGGTCTGTAGTTCAGAATGCAATTGTCCTTTTGTGTAGAAGCACTTCTGTAAAAGAAATCAAATAAACCTTTGACGTTTGCTTGAGCATCTCTTAACTGTTGCATTTGCTGGAAATGACTGACTACAGTTAATGCTTCATTTAATTTAATTGAGCTCGGTTTGGATGTTGTTGTCTGACCAGGCTGTGCCCTGTGCTTGGAAACCTCTGACCTGGACTACCTTGTACTGGCAATGTTCTACTGTAAATACCCTGCTGGTCAGAGAAGGGCTGTTCTTTCAGAGAGCACCAGACTAAGGGAACTTGAAGGCCTCCATGGATGAAGATGCACGTCAGCATTAAGATCATGAGAACAGTTCCCGATGGGGATAGGCAAGTCCTTAAAAGACAGAAGGCTTGGGAGTTTGCAGAGGGGTTTAGTGTGAGTTAGGGATAATGTAAGAACAATTATTTCTGCATCCCTACCCTCTGTGATACTTGTGATGTGAAGTTTGCCAGAATTTATGAAATATTTTCTCACATCTTTTCTCTGTTTTACATAAACAATGGTTGTAATTCATTGTTGCTGCTGCTTTATACCGTAATATTATTTACTGATATAAATTTACTGATATTGAAGAAATTCAATATACCCCACTGTCAGTTTTAACCCCCTGTCTAATGATAAAGTTTTTTACATTTGCCCATGAAATTTTATCTGCTCAGCCATGTGTGAGAGAACTGCTACAGAAATGCATCATCGCTGCAGGTAATTTAAAATAAGCATGCGCTCTAAAATAATATATTCAGTCAAGGAGGTGGCGAGGGTTTGACTGTATGATTGACTCTTTGTAAGGGCTTTGAAATATCTTTTATAGAATCTATAGAAATGTCTTTTCCAACATCTGTCGCATGATCTTTCCTGTGCTCCCGTGAGCTGTGCGGTGTTTCCCAGGCGCGCTGACGGCTGTGGTTGTTGTGTTGCAGGACGTGGCGGGAGCCCATCAATCCTTACTACGTCAACACCGGCTACGCCCTGGCGCCCGCCACCAGCGCCAACGACAGCGAGCAGCAGAGCATGTCCAGCGACGCCGACACCATTTCTCTGACGGACAGCAGCGTGTACGTACAGGACCCCTCCCGCCCGCGGCCCGGCCGGAGACTCGGCTCGCTTGTCCCGGGGTTTCGGAAATTCCCGCAGGGCTCTGAAGTTTTGTATTGTTGATAAATATTGGTTTCCCAGCTCCTTTAAGTGGAAGGAATTCGAAATGTTTCCCTGTTTTGGGAGGAAAAGGACATTGAGCAATTGGCTAATGTCACACCGATGCTCGTTATGGAGGCTTAATCTACTGGGCTGTGAGATGAGATTGCTGGATCTAATTTAGGAAGGTCGGGTTTTTTATTTTATTGAATTGTCCAGGTTCCTCCTGTGTGCAGTGTAGTTTAAAGAGGATGCGCAGATATAAATGATAACACATATTCCTAGTAGTAGCCTTAACTGCATATAAAAGCCTAATATGTTTTGAGTCCTGTTCGGATATTTATCGTAATCACAATTTGGCTTTCTGAAAACATTTATAGGTTAATTTATACCTTAACATGTCTTTACCATGGTACAATGGTATTTGCGTAGTCTACCAAATACTAAATGTTCTTCTCCTTGCATATTTTCGTATTTGAAGTTTGTTTATTCATAAAATAATCCTGATATTTTGTAATACATACACTTTATTGATTATAGATTGCAGGCAACCAAGCAAAAAAAGTATTTAAATATAAATTCTGCTGCTTTGTCCTGACTCATTCATGTAACTTTAAGGAGTTGTGTACTCCTTTTTGAAACGTTTCTCTTATGCTTGAGTATAAATGCCGGGCTGAGAAATGGACTTCAGTGGTGAGAACAGTTCAATGGAATGCAGCTAGAAATTCTCCAGCTGATTTTTTTTGCTATGGTTAAATGTTATTATTTTGACCTGAAAATTGAACTTTTTGAGTTATTAAACAAACATCTGCTTTTGAATCAAAAATTGCATGATTTCAGTTAGTAGATTTTGTTTGTAGTGTTTATTGCAAGAGAGAAAAAAGAGCTAAACAAATATTCTATAACTACTTGATCATAATGGATCAATGTGTTTGTTTTTCCCAAAACAAATGTTTCAGTCAAGCTTTGTTGAAAAAGAAATGCAATGGTATGGAATAAGTGCTGAATGAAAATTATTTGTAATTTTAGGAAGTGCCTTTTGTGCTTTGGGAAGTAGGTAGAGTGTAATTCAGGTGATGATTGATCAGTATGCTTACAATTCGGATGACAGTCTAAGGTAGTTTTTTTATTAGCTTGAAGAGGCTTCAGAACAAAATCGTTATGTCAGGTTCTGCTGTTCACATGGAACTGACCTCTCATTGTTAACAGACTGAATCATGCCTTGAGCAGGAGTTGGGAGGATCTGTAAATACTGGGGTTCCCAGTGTCCGCTGGGATTAGGGACCAGAAAGTAGCAGCAGAACAATGTATACAGGGAGATTTTTCAGTACATGGAACATTTGAAAACTTTTTTTACACTACCATTCATTTTTATCTTGACCTACCGGTCATTTAAGTGACATTTTAAGAGTTTTTAATCCAGTCGCTCCTTCATGATTTTATCTTGAGAAGTGTGCATGTTAATGCTGATGTTTAGGTGCAGCAGTTCCACAGCTTGGAACTCTTTATCTTTGTTGTAAATGAGAGATAAAACAAAATAAACACACTTTGGGCTCACTTTCAGGCTTGCCGCCAGCTGCACAAAAAACGGGAACAAACATTTTCTGAAAAAAAAAGTCATAATTAGCGTGCTCAGGTGTGGGAAATGTGTACGTTTTATCCCCAGTATCTGGATGAAATGAGTTCATGGAGATGTATACAGAGGCAAGTTTTAACAGGAATCTTAAGTGAAGAATTCTCATGAAGTGATGGACTTCATTACCATTTATGATTTTGAATGTAAAATCTTGGTAGCATGCATATTTTGTCAGTCACATTTTTGGAATATTATAATTGTGTTTTTCTACGCCTTTAGAAAAAGAATAAGTAACATAAAAAACCTGTTTACAAAGTAATTTTTTATCAGAAGGATCTGCTTATAACTGTTTCAGGCGGAGGGCTTTTTTAAATGTGACTAACAGTCGTCACTGCAGTAGAGAGTTAAAGCAGTGCAGCGCTGTGGCGAGACAGTTTCTCCTTAAATGGGTTTATTTGGCATATTTTTTCAATGTGAGAGTGACAGGGGCAAAAGTGACTGTGGACTGTGGAATCGCTTTTGTGTAAAATTAATTAGTAAACACAAGGTTTAGTGGTCGGTGCCGTGGCAGACTCAAGTCCTCCTACCTCCTACCTTGAGTACGAGTTGTGTCTGAGTCGTGAGGCATCGGAGCCGTGAGTCATCGCTGGCTTCAGGCCCCGAGTCCAAACCCACAGCCTTGAAGTCAGCTAATCAGAGTTATGCTTTAAAAAAATTCCTGCGTGAAAACATCCCATACACCAAAGCCAAGGAAAAATTAAAAGAAAGAGCTAAATAGAAAGATTCGCTGGTTCACAATAAGTAATAAAATGATGAAACTGGAAAAGCTTCTCATCTCATATTTCTTATCTCGTTTTGCATTTTAAAACACAATGGGATAATATCGAAAATATCCAAAATGTTGTTCCACAGGTCAATAAATGTCCTACAGATTTATTTTGTCATTTTGAGCTTATTATACCTTTGCTCAACTAATATTTCCTAACTTGGGTTTATGATAATTTACTATTTAATTCTGTATTTGAATAGGCACTATTCTAAAAAAAAACATGTGGGTTTACTTTGAAGGCTCATCAAAGATTACACCAACAATACTTTACAGACCACACAGTTTACAGCTCTCAGTAGACTGTTTGCTGTAAGATCTGTCCTTTAGGCATTTATGTTTGGTGAATTAAAACACTGAAGTCTGTATGTATATGGTATATATTGGTATTGTAACAAAATTCAGTATTTTATCTACCTGACCTTATGAGGTCTATTAGGACTCTTAATTTGTTGCCATATGTTCTTCAGTTTTGTTCTCAGTTTTTTTCTGCTTAGATTTTGAAAGGCCTGAGTTAGATGAAATGTTTTTATATTCAAAAATCACAATTGCCTTTCCAAAAATAAGAGCGAATCCTACAATGTATGTACTTGTATGTTACCAGAAGGATTGCCTCATGAATGCTTCGGAGTACTTTAACTGACTCCTAACCTTCTTAACTTCTCATGCCTTATAAAGAAAGTTCTAGTTACATGTACATTTCAGACCACAGGAGCACATATTACAAGCTAACCACCATATGATAAAGTGCCATAAAAAGGGCATTATGTTGTTCCTTTTGACATTGGTCTAATAATTATAAATACACAGTTTGACTGTAAAGCAAGTAGGCTGTGACTTTGCAGTCCTGATACTGTCATTGCTGTTGCTCTAACAGAGAACTGACCTTGAGGCATATGATCTTTTATAACTATGGGATTGGCTATTATACATTCACATGAGAATGAAAACTGTTGATAATGCTGATGTTTATTGAGCACATGTTATTTGAATTTTAACATTGGGTGGTGGAAGTGCATCAGTTAATTTCGGGGTGCAGTAATTTCTTCAGTGACTGTGCATGTACTACAGTACAGACCACAAGAGGAATAAGAAGGCCCTACAGTTTTTAGTTGTTTTGTGTAGTTAGAGAAGTATTGAATTTATGATGATCTATCTTCCCTAGATGACAATTGATCTGTACAGCTGCCTATTGATGTTTTAAACTTTGATGTTTTCACTGAGTGCTTGAAAGAACTTTAAGCTTTTTTGATAGTTCCCTTAAAAGGATTGAAGTTGTACAGACATGCACTGAATCAGAAGTATACATTTAAAAAAAAAGAGGCATTTTTCGTAATTATGCTCACAGACTTATTTCCCTAATTTTTATCATTTGCAAGCCCTGCCCTGAGCACCACGATTTAGTTCAGCGTTTTCGTTTTTTTTGCAGCAGGAAGCATGTTGTTTCTTTTGAGTGCATGTAGCCTTGATGAGTTGGCAGAGAGAATTCAGTGAAAGGAGTGTGCTAAGTTCAGAGATGACACAGGGGAATCAAGTTAAAGAAACATCAAAGACGACACAGCAGGACAAAACCGTGTTTGAAGCAGGATAGATTAGAGGCGATTAGCAGCTGTCTGCCACGGAGATTCAAACAAAGCAAAGTCATATCCAAAAGGGTTCTTGTTGCTATGAATTAAATATATTCCCAGCACACTAGCTGCATATTCCTTCTTCCTGGGAGTATTTTGTAATAAATCTTGGCCTTCCTCCTGATAAACCACGTCTGTCGCTTGGCAGTGCCAAACTCAGTTTTGGTGGGTGAATAAATGCATGTGGACTTGCCTAGTTCTGGCTCCGTTGGTTTTCCCTGATCAGTTCCTGTTTTTCTCCAGGGATGGGATTCCCCCGTACCGGTTCCGCAAGCAGCATCGCCGGGAGATGCAGGAAAGCGCCAAAGCGAACGGCCGTGTGCCACTACCTCACATTCCTGTAAGTCCTGTCGGCGGCGGGGCGGCGAGGCGGCGAGGGCTCGAGCCGAGAGGGCGCTGCTCCTCGGCGGTCCAGGCAGACTCCGTTTTTCTTACCCCGGAGAAGGGGCCGGGGCGCGCCCTCGCGCTTGTGGGGTGAAAGGGGTCCCCAGCTGTCCCGGAGCAGCTGACAGAGCTTCAGCCTCAGTCTTCAGCCGTGTTGGTGCTGAAATCCGAGTGCTTGTCTTCTGCCAGGGCTTTGTTCATTTCAGTTGTGTTAAATTGCCAACTAATTGCGACTTGCAAAACAAACAAATGCGAAGGAAATGTGGGTAGGTGATCACTGACAGGATAGTTTTGTTCTTTGGATCGCTAAATTACCATGTATACAAACAGAAGAGTATTCTGTGTTGTGTATATTGCGATCTTTGTTAGCTGTAATTCTGTGAGGTATACTTTCCAGGACAATTCCTTTCTTTGTATTTAGAAGGATGGTAGCCTGCCACTTAGCCTGCTTTATCAGGACAAATGTGTTCGTGGAAAAAAAAATGAACTCCCTTATTTTCAGACGTGTTACTTCAGCAAGTGGACGTTTTTTTTGCCTTCATTTTTTTCTGTGTAATTGTGCGCTGTAGCACTGTTATGTAATACTGAAGTGGTATGCCGATGTTTCTAAAAGCATGTTAAGGTTCAATTAAAAGCTTCATATCACAGGATGCTCTTCATATTGAAATAGTTACAACTATGTTGTAATGTGCATACCAACATCACGCCAACTGCTGCTGTGTCCAACCATGCTCTGCTACCACTGTACATGTGGGGATATTTGTGGGTATCAGTTATATTTACAACTGTCTCTCAAAACTTTAATAGAGCGTGGGCCTGGCTTTCAGTCTTTTTTCCTAATTTTATTACAGAAAAATAAAAAAATGCAAATGAATAAGAACACTATCATTACCATCGGCTTCAGATCCTTGTGGCACTCCACAAATCACGCTCCCCGATTTGAAAGTTAGCCCCTAATTTGTGCCCTGTTTTCTATTAAATAAGCAGTTTTCAGTCCAAGCGCTGCTGTTTCTGTCAAAGACTGCAGTGTGAAAATTAATCTTTCATGGGGCACTTTGACAAAAACTTTCTGAACATCTAAATAAAACTACCATTTGCCTCGCGTGTCCATTGCTAATGTTGCTTGTTCAAAGAACTCTAGCAAGTAGTTGAGGAAAGACCTAACTTTTTGAAATCCATGCCGAGAATTTTCTGGGATGTTCTTTATAGACGATCCATTAATTTAGTTCTTATGTTTGCTCCCATTACCTCACATGTAATAGAAGTCTGACTTCAGGTTTCTATTCTTCAGACCCTCTTTAAGGAGGGGTACCTGGGCCAGTCCCTTTTCCTTCCCTTTTCTCTGAGCTCTCGGAAGAGTTGCGTCCATGGCTGCTGGCTACTTCTCATCTCCGAGCGGTAGGAGGATGAGTTTTCACTCCAGCGGCAGCTTGTGTCATGGAGTAGTTGGGGAGCCTTGCTCGTGCAGTGGAGATGGGCTCTAGCGCGTTGTACACCCCTGGAAGAGTAACTGGGTTGTGTAAGATTTACTGGGCCTAATCATCCCAGAGCCGAGGCCGCGCGTGCCCGGCCCTCTGCTGGAGGTCTGGATCTCGAAGGTTGTGTTTTCCGGCAGCGCACGTACCGGATGCCGAAGGACATTCACGTGGACCCCGAGAAGTTCGCCGCGGAGCTGATCAGCCGGCTGGAGGGCGTCCTGAGGGAGCGGGAGGCCCAGGAGAAGCTGGAGGAGCGGCTGAAGCGCGTGAGGCTGGTACGTGAACCGCCGGGGAGCCACGGCCAGAGAGCCTTTTCCGTGGAGCCGAGTAAAGCAAGAGCACGTGGAATTTGGGATGTGAGGCTTGACGCTCAGTGTAGCCGAGTTAAACTAGCTGTTCCCAGTCTGGAAAGCCTTCTTCTGTGAGCGGACGTCCTGACTGGCGGTGAATCCCATGTGGTCAGTTGGCAAGCGATGCACGCACACGTGTGGGGTCTCTGGGGAGGCTGGGTGGCGCAGAGCTCAGCATTGCTGCCTTGCTGGGCTGAGACCCCGGGTTGGTTCAATCCCAGATCTTGCAGTCCAAAACTATACTGGTAGGATGATTGGCTTCTGAAACACTGGTCCAAGATGTGAGTGTGCGTCTGCCCTGGGCGGACTGGCCTTCCGTCCACGGTGCGCCCTGCTTTGCGCCCGTTGCTTGCTGGAGGAAGTGGCCGGGTGACGCCGTGGCAAACCCATCTCAAGTCCTGCTCAGAACTGGACAGCTGGCTACACACCTCAGGCCGAAGGCTTTGTGATCGGATGAGACAGAAGGGGAATATTTTGGTCTAAATGGAAAGAGTTAAGTCCGGTTCATACTCGGCACAGGGCATCCCCTGGTCAGCGCCATCCGTGGTGGTGATAGCATGACGTCAGGGGCAGGACATTGTTCTGGTCAGTGTTGGCCGGGGATCGTGTGGATGGATGGGCGGACATCCTGCTGAAGGTGTAGAACTGGGATAAAAAGACCTTCCAGTAGGAAGAGTTGCCCCAGACCACAAGGCCAAAGCAATATGATTGGAAGGGGGTGAACGCTTTTACACGGCCCCATATGTTCTTTTAATGCTTTAAGCAGATAAATTAAGCACAAACTCTAATTTGTGATATTGAGTCTCCTGTGTGAATTATTTTAAAACCAGTTTACCTACCATAAAATGTTATTGGCAGGAGTTGCCTCTTCACTAAATCCCTACTTAGCAAAACATGCTCATTTCCCTCTGGGTGTAGGATTTGTTATCTGTAATTTGCATAATTTCATTATCACTGCTACTGTTCTACACTAAATGCTTCTATATGCGACAGCATCATACTGGTAGTGGACAAAAGAAAAAGGAAACACCTGAGCAGAAGTAGGATACCAGGTGTATTGAATTGGGTGGCTTCTGACATCCCAAAGTGCTTGCGTCATGCAGACGGATGCCGAATTGGCAGGTGGTCTTTAATTATGATTCACAGGGCTGCAAGGGGAGACTCGGTGGCTTTTGCGTGTGGCAGGATCTGAACTGACCAGGACAGGCGAACTCGTTGATGTTTCACAGGCAGCGGTGTCAAAGGAGGTGGCAGCATGAACCTCCTCAGGAAAGACATTTGCAGAGGGCCACACTGGACGGCATCTGGGCATGCGTTCAATTATGGGGCGATTTACTAAAGATGTGTGACTCCGGGACACCTTAATAGGCGAGAAACCTCCCAGTCAGATGACTGCAGATTTCAACCTGGGGTGCAAACAGCCAGTTTAATCAGAAAGGGACTGTGGAGCAGTCCGGCGCGCGGAGGATTCTCACGGTTAAGTAATGTTGTGAGGCGCTTTTTCCATGCGTGGTTTCAGTGCACTAATTCCCTTAGAGAGCAGAGCTATTCCTAATTGTTGCTTGTGGTATTTAGTGATCATCTTGAGCCCATGCTGCAGTGTTTCTTTCCTGCTGGGAGGGGTGTCTTTCAGGATCACAGCGTGTGTAGTTACCTGATGCTTTGATGAGCAGGTCACTGAAGTTCTCCATGCTGTATGTCAGGGCCTTCTCTGTGACCACATCGCAGCCCTGTCCAGTGTCATGGTATATTCAGGAACCACGCCCGAGATAGTTTTCCATTTCCATCGACCTGGCACTGACTGACTTTCTCGTGCTGCAGCCCTCCTGCAATGTCATACGTCTCACAGCTCCCTGCTAAGTGACTTGACTTTGGGGTTTCCATTTTTTGTCCACTATCTTATACATCTATTGTTAAACTGCAGAACAGAAAGAAATACCAGCTCTTTTTCATAGTGATGTTATTCTTTTAGTCTCGGGAATGAGGCGTGTTGAGGCATTTGTCAACATCTCTCTACCTGACTGACAGTGTGGAATAATAGTCTGCGCCACTGTTTGTATGAGAAAATCTGTTCCAGCGCGTTACCTGAAGTCTGCATCAAAGAGCTCCATACGTGAATTATCAGGTGGAACTGCCAAGTTTTCATTGCCAAATTGCTTCTCATGTCATCTACCAGGAGAAATAACACAGTCAGCTGAAACAGTTGTCTGATGTTTTACCCATCAAGGTGTTAAAATATGTGTTTTTCTTTAGGAAAGATGGGAAAAGTAGCTGCTTGAGTCCCCAAGTCACAACGAGTATTTTTGACAACAGCTAGAATACGTTCATGATCTGCCTGTAACATTAGTGAAAAGAGCGTTGTGTTTTTTATCCTGCATATTTAAACTGAGAAAGTTATTCTTTAGTTTCTGCAGGAGAAACTAATCATGGTATAATCGGCGATCTTCCAACACCTGAATCTGCGGTGTTGTCTATATGGTGATGTGGGATAGTGCCACCTGCTGGCGAAACATAGTGCCCAAGTCAAAGACCTGGTACGCTATTTAAAAACGAGGGAAGCGATTGGCTATACAATGTCTAATTGCATCTGTTTGAAGTGCTCGCTGTCCGCTGGTGCACCTCTAGCTTCCTGAGGCTGACAGATTTTTCTGTGTATTATTCAAGCTCTAGTGGGCGACTTTACACTTGAGTTACAACTTGAAAAAGTACTCGGCCATAAATACTGTATTGCACCGTATTGTATTGGTTATATGTTTATTGTTTTCCATGTGTTGTCAATTCTGAATCCAATTTCCAACGTAGACCATTTTACATGAAAGTTTGCGTTTTCCCCCTAATACTGTCCAATAAGATGCATCAGATAACTTGTCAGCTCTCATCTGGCAGACCGGGGCTTGACGGTTCGTGTTCTCTGCAGGACACGAAGAGGTGTGGTGTGATCGTGTCCCTTTGTTATTAACAGGAGGAGGAGGGGGATGACGCGGACGTGTCGACCGCTCCCTCGATGGCCAGTCACAAGCTGCCGCCGGGACAGCACCCCGCGCACTTCAACGGGCGCTACCCGGACATGACCTACAACGGCATCCAGCTGCGGGACGCCCACGAGGAGAACCCCGAGTCCATCCTGGACGAGCACGTCCAGCGGGTGATGAAGACCCCTGGCTGCCAGTCCCCGGGCCCGGGCCGCCACTCCCCGAAGTCCCGCTCTCCGGAGAGCATGCTCGCGGGCAAGGGGCCCGGGCTGATGGCGCCCCTGCCCTCGGGGCACTGCAAGCACCTGGGCAAGCCGGCCCTGAAAGCCGACGGAGCCGGCCTGTACCACCACAAGTACGTCCATCACGTCCACCACCACGGCGCCCTGAGGAACAAAGAGCAGATCGAGCTGGAGGCCAGCCAGAGGGTGCAGAACAACTTCGTCTGGAACGGAGAGCCTCATCACTATGCAACCAAGTCTCGGAACTACGCCGACAGCATGGGAGTGGCGCCGAGCCCGATGGACGCTCTGGGCCACGGGTACGCACAGCGCCGCGCGGGGGTCGGGCCGGGGGCTTCGGGCCGCCTTCAGGAAGTGTGCGCCACCGGCTGGGTTTCTGCTTTGCGTTGCAGGAGTAAAGGCAGCACGCTCTCGAAACGCATCTCCAAGAAGGGGGAGTCGGGCAAGGGTGACGACGGCCGGAACTTCGAAGTCCAGGTGCCTCCGGAGGAGCTGGAGAGGAACCAGAAGATCATCCAGTGGATGATGGAGGGAGAGAAGGAAGCCGGGCGCCACAAGAAAACTGCCTATGGGTGAGTCTGGAATGGAAGAGGCTGGAAGAAGGCCGAGTTTGATTCAGGAGAACATAAGGCTTCAAACAAGAGGCAGCGATTATGCCCATCCAGCCCATTCCATTAGGTAGTTAGTAGTTAATTGATCCTGGGATCTCATCCAGCTTTGAGCCACAGTGCTTGGTAGCTTGTTCCATACTCCCACGACCCTTTGGGTAAAGAAGTGATTTATTGGTTTTTGGAAGATACAAGTTACATAAAACATCAATAGTTGTGGGCTATGGTATTTTTACTTCATTTTTGACTGTTTCAGATTTCTTTGATCCTAAGCCTTACATAACACTAACTGTGAGGTTCCCTCTAATAGTATGTCAAGATAAACACCCAGGAGCTTTCCATAAGTGGCCTCTTCTAGCTCGGCTGTTCACGATTTGGTTACATTTTCTTTTTTCTGCCTGTGTGCAAAACCCTGCCTTGTTTGTATTAACTGTTGAATCGCCAGTGGAAATGTAGATGCAGAACAGTCTTTTCCCCATTTTTGGTGGCTGGAACGTAACGGGGTCTGACCTGCTGGCGACGTGCTCCAGGCTGCTCCGCGTTCTTCAGAGATGAGCGGACATTTGGCTTATAGTTATAGTTGCCGTGTTACAGTTTCTCGTTACTTTATTTCCCGTCGGCTCACATCGTGAAACTGAGGGATTAGGGACTTGGAAACCGGCTCTTTCTAGTTTTTTCCGTTGTCCTTCTCCCGTAGGAATGCGGCAGGGGCTAAGAAACCCCCCAGCCACGAGGCGCCCAGGCCCAGCTCGATCGAGCGGCCCGGCGCCGTGCACCCCTGGGTGACCGCGCAGCTGCGCAACAGCGTGCAGCCCTCCCACCCCTTCATCCAGGACCCCACCATGCCCCCCAACCCCGCGCCCAACCCGCTCACCCAGCTGGAGGAGGCCCGCCGGCGGCTGGAGGAGGAGAAGAAGAAAGCTGGGACGCTGCAGGCAAAGCAGAGGTGCGGCGCCGCCCGCCCGCCTGGGCCCGGTCCAGGCCGCGTGTTCGCTGCCCGCCGGGAGCGGTGTGGGTGACGCGGGAGCGTCTCCCCCGAGATTGCGATGGAGATGCCGCTCTGTCTCATCACCTCATCACACTTTTCCGCTTCACGTTGTCGGAGGCCTGGAGGTCTTTCTGCAGCCGTGCACTTGAAGGCTGAGGCGTTTCCTGTTGCGCGTGTTGTTGTCACGATTTGGTTTAGGCTGCTTGCTGCTGCGATGGTTGCTTAGCTACACTTTTCATGGTTCCTCATTTCATTCTTTAATGCTGACCTATAAAGATAAAAAGCTGTTGAATTTTAGCTGGTAGGGACCAGTGATGACCTTCCATGAGCTAAGGTATTTTATTTCACCTTGGAACATCACAAATCTGCTAACTCATCCCTGAAGCCCACATTGTGATAATGAATCATTCCCATTTGCTGTGTGCGTGTTGGCGAAACGTTCTTAAATGTCTTCCTTGCATAGAGCTGTGTCTACACTTGGATGTCAAACTCAGTGTCCCCCTGGGTCATATGAAAGAGTCCCATTTCATCTGGAAGCCACATCCATTCTCCATCCCTCCTGTTGGATTTGTAATGCCTTTGCCTTCAAAAAGGGACGCTGATGAAATTAATGAGCAGATTGCTTCAACGAAGGCTGTTGTCACTGGGCATTAATTCATTTTACACATTTGCTTTTTATATGTTAACTTCAAAGGTGTTTTTTTGATCAAGCAACAGCTTTGTGCGACAAGTGTAGCAGGGCAAATAATGCCCTCCCCCTGGCCTTATGCAGATTCGTGTGCATTTCTGAGTTAAACCTTCCTTTAAACTTTTTTTTAACCTTTTGGTTGCGCAAAACCTAAAACTCTAGTGTTCATCCCAGATTTTGCATTTTACAGGTTGTATACAATAGGGTTTACATCTTAAAGAGCTGGGTTAGAACTTGTAATCCAGAGATCAGTGCAGTACAGCTACCTAATGTGAGGTATAAACCGGATGATCTTCAGTCTCCTCTAGGCATTGCCTGGACTAAGGGCTTCGAACGCGAAGCTAGAAATTCTTTTCATACTTCATCTGAAGTTGCAGTTTCTCAGTCTTATAGAGGCTCACAATCGGCATTTATAGAATGGGTTGTTTCATGAAGTATTTTTGATAGGAAATACTAAGATGTTTCGTTTTATTAAAGTTAGTTTTGTGGTTGCATGATTTACCGTATATATATATTTTTTTAAGTCTTTTGACCTTCTTATTTGTACCTACATATTTGACCGAATACATGATTTGACTATTGTGATTCACACCACTTCTTTTAAAATGGTACCTTTGTTTCTGTTTAAGGCATAAAACCCAGAAGAAGCATCCGTGTGAAAATATTGTTGTGGCATACTACTTTTGTGGAGAGCCAATCCCCTATCGAACATCTGTCAAAGGGAGGATCGTCACTTTGGGACAGTTCAAGGAACTGCTTACCAAGAAAGGGAGCTACAGGTAACGCAGGCTCTAGACGTTTAAATGCATATAAGTAGAAATGTCTTGTAAAACTATTTTTGTATGTTTTAGCAGTTTAACAAGTACAGAGGCCAAATGTTCTATTTTTTTCAGAGCATTGTAGTTTTCTTCCCCCTCCAAAGCGGTTCCTGAAGTAGAAACAGTTTTATACCTTCAGACGGGGTTCCAGGCTTGAAGAGTGCACTTTGAGGGGGGTTTTTAATCCGTTGTCTTTGCTCGATCAACGTCTCCCAGGTATTACTTCAAGAAGGTGAGCGATGAGTTCGACTGCGGGGTGGTGTTCGAGGAGATCCGCGAGGATGACGCCATTCTGCCCATCTTCGAGGAGAAGATCATCGGGAAGGTGGAGAAGATCGACTGAACGGGCGTGATGGAGCAGCTGTGTGAGAATACAGAGCTCAGCTAAAGGGAACAGTCCTGAGGGGCAGCCTTTCATGGTACAGGAAATGTCTTTGTCTGCTGGAGGAGCATTCTAGAGGAATGAGGGTCACTGTGGGAGATCTAATATTGACTTAAAGGCTTCCACTTCTGCACAGAAGTTTCCCCCAGCTGCTCAGTGCCAGAAGAATAAAATGGTGCTTTAACAGCAGAAACTGCATCTCACAGGACAAAAAGGAACTGATGCAGCATTATTGTTTCTTTGTTATATTTTTAACTCTAAGTGTAATGTAGCATTGTAAAGTTGTACTAGAAATTGTACTATGAATCTGTTTATTAAAGTTGCATATTTTTGATAACGTAATAGAAGGAACGTAGCCTTTCTAATGTAACAATGCTCTTGTAATTTTGATATGTACAGGTACTTCTGAATTTACCAGATGTGTACAGGCCATCTGTTTAAAATAATTTTTAAATATTTAAAAAAGCTTGTTATAATTAGATTAATTCAATTGATGGTTGCAGTTAAGAACTTTAGCTCCTGTTTCAAAATATTCTTGTCTTGGGTTGCTTTTCTCATATATTCTGGATCTCATAGCAAGTTAATTTAACACCTGAATCCTGGGACTGTCCTTTTATTATCAAATGCTTTAAGTCTCCTAAATTAGTCCATGTAGTGAAATGCAGTATCCTCTGAGAAATATAGCTTATTTATAATGCATAAAATCTAGCTTTGTTTACCAGTGCTGTCAAGATTGGGGGAAAAACTAACTTGCTCTGAACTTCTGCCATCATGCCTGTTTGTTCTGTGTGAAGCACCCTTCAACAAACATCATTATCGTGAGAGCTGGTACTAATATTCGCTGCAAAAGTTGGTCCTACCTTGATTTCACAGAGCTGGTGTTAGGTGATGTGGATAGACTGTTGGCCTTGCTCTGTCCTGATGAGCTTCATTGCATCTGCATATCGAGTGGGAACGGGCCCACGTTTGGCAAAGGTGAGAGCAACAGAGTCCTCGCAGAAATGGTGGAAGCATCAGCTGGCCGCTGTTGTGTAAAAACAAATCTCTCATATACAACTTGTATATTAAACGCAAAGAGCAAATATGATATTTATGTTAAATAAAGCAATATTTAAGAGCAACGTTAAATTGCTTAGAAACCTTTGTACGTTTTTTCACAGGCTTGCTGTAGCTCCTGGGGGGAGGGAAAGGTGTTGAGGAAAGGCCACTGCTTATAGTGAAAGATGGACTTGCGAGCCGAGAGGTTGGGCAGAAGGAAGACGCCGGGGGCAGCGATGAGCGAAGGGCTTGACATGGATGAACGGGAGCACTGACGTAGTCTTGTCATCCTGTCCTTGGGTTGCCATTGGACTATTCCAGTGTTTCCACATACCTTAATGCATTAAGAACTCCTTTAAGTCTTAGCTTTTTCAGTTTAATTAGGCTAATACAGGCACCTGGATCAAAACGATTTCGATGAGTCCGAATGGTCGACCGTTTGCTGGATCATAAAACACCAAAGAGCACCGCCTTCACTAAAGTTGTAAAGTGGACTTTTTTTTACTTTGTATAGCGGGCAGCAAGCCTAGCACATGGTTCTGCTTTATTTTTTTCCCTCCCCATTGGAAGTCAATTAAAAAAATCTAATCCCAACAGTTGCACCTCCTGTTATGTACTTCTTCTGTCTGATGTCGTCCTAGAAAATGGCACACCGAATCGGGGGCAGAGTCTGAGAAATCGAACAGGGTTCGGTGAATGTACGTGCGCCCTGGAGGAGGGAGATTGCATCTACGCAAATGCTGCTTTTGTAGTGATATTTTTGTGATCTTGCGGTTTTATACACATTTAACATCACAGTGAGGGATCTTGCGATGCCTCGGAAGAGATGGTGCTTGTGTTTTGTTCTCTGCTGGTGTGAATAACTCGTACTGCAGCGGGGGGAAACAAATTGTACCGAAATGACATCGTGAGCAGGCCGGGCCTTCACAGGGGACTAGTGTCAAACTGCTCTTGACGGAAAACCGGAGACTTGTTGAAACGTATCTGTTTCATGCCACTGTGTTTCCAGCTTCTTGTATTGTTTATAGTCACGCGATTTGTTCAATGACAAAAGCTTGAAATGAGAATTACAGCGCTCAAACTGTGAAAGCCCCCCTCCTCTCTCCTGCTTCAGTGAGGTATCATGTAAATAGACACGATGGAGTGCCTTTATAATGCAGTCTCTCTTTCCGCCATGTGATTCTCAAATGTCAGAGGTTTTGCTTTCATCCAGGGATTCGTTTTGTTTTTATTTAGCTAATTTGTGATGTTTTGCAAGATTTTATTTCTTGAAAAAGTGACATTGCATTCACTGAATCTGGATATGCCTTTTCTATGTAAATATGTACATTTTCATGTAAGTGTCTTCAACAAACAGCACATCTGGATACTTAGTACCCAGGTCACACTTCAGTGTGCTGACTTGTACAGTTATCTTTTAAAAGGTACTTGGACAATAAAGATATTAAAAGAAAAATAAATTGTTCAGTTTTCTTGATGTCATAATCATCCGTTTGTTGTGTTGAGCAGTATGGCTAGGCACTTTTCGGTTTGCATTAGTTTCCAAAGTGGAGTTCTGCAGTAATACACCAGAATAAGTGATGGAGCACCTCGCCACAATTTGTCAGCACCTCTGTGCATTACTGGGCTGAAGGGACCTATCAAACCCTTAATGTTTTGCCAACATATTACACGAGGCAATGGCTTGAGATGAGAATTCAAATATCTAAAGCAGTTAGCCTTTTGTTAACATTTTTCATGTTTGTCAGCTCTACTGGAGAAGCATTCCAGAGGAATAATTATAAGTAATCATAATTATAGGTATCTGGAGCATGAAAATGTTTTTACGACTTTTTAGGTTTTTTCAATGGCTACAGTGCCGTGAAAAAGTATTTGCCCCCATCCTGATCTCCTCTATTATTCCACATTTCTGACAAGGTTTTCATCTCAATCTAATAACCGATAAAGGGAACAAATATATTTTTTTACTTATTTCATTTATTTAATGAACAAAGTTATCCAGCACCAACAGGCACTGTGTGAAAAAGTAATTGCCCCTGGTTAAATCAACCCAATTAAAGGAATAAAGTCAGCTGATTGAACACAGCCAGCCCTGCTCAATATAAACCTCACTTATTTTGACCCTTACCATCAGAGTCAAGTTGCCAGCACAAAGAATTCAACAAGCACATTATGCCACGATCAAAAGAAATTCCTGAAGAAATCAGAAAAAACCTGTTTATCAGTGTATAAAGGGTTACAAAGCCATTTCTAAGGCTCTGGGACTCCACCGAACCACAGTGAGAGACAGTCTCCAAATGGAGAACACCTGGAACAGTAGTGAATCTTCCCAGGAGTGGCCGGCCTGCCAAAACTTCTCCAAGGCGCAGTGTAACATCACCCAGGAAGTCACAAAGGATCCTAAAAAACATCCAAAGAACTGCAGGCTTCTCTTGCCTCAGCTAAGGTGAGTGGTCATGACTCCACCATCAGAAAGAGGGCTTCATGGGAGAGTAGCCAGGCGGAAACCACTGCTAACCAAGAAGAACAAAAATGCTCATCTCTCATTTGCAAAGAAGCAGCTGGATGATCCCCAAGCCTTGTGGGAGAATGTTCTATGGACAGATGAGTCAAAAGTGGAACTTTTTGGATGACATGGGTCCCATTATGTCTGGCGTAAAGCAAACCCAGTATTCCACAGGAAGAACCTCATACCAACACTCAAACATGGCGGTAGTGTGATGTGGGGGTGCTTTGCCTCAGGATGCTATTCTGTCTCTTTAAAATTTGCTTCATAGATACAAATAAAATAATTTCTTTTAATTTTAAGCTGATTGTTAAACTTGTAAGTTTTTAATTTAAGTTTTCAACTCCAACAGTTTACTACCAGAGGGGGTGGTGAAGCTTTGGAATTTGGAGAAATGAGACAGTCTATTATTTCTATTATTCTCCAGTTTCATGCAATTCTCCGAGGCACGCTACCTGTAAGTGGTACGTTTGTTTTTCACTCGGTAATGAGCCCAAACATCCTGCCAGATTGAGGCTAATTACTTGTGTGAAGAATGTGAATTTATGCACCGGGCTTGGCAGCTCTGGCACCTCCTCCTTGTACAAGTGGAAAAACATGCCGTACAGCGCTTCAAATATGGCGTCCCGGTGTTGGGTTGATGAGGTCACCGTTACGGCACGCACAAGGCGTGTACGTAAAACGTAAGACGCGAGGTCAAAGGTCATCCTGTGTATGGTCACATGCGCACGATATCAACAGAGTGACAAGAGAGAGCAGGAGTCTGATGTTGCTGTCATGGTCATGGAAGAGTATAATTGAAAAGTGCGTGACTTTTGTCGCGTTCCCCTATTAAGCCAGCGAAGCAGTTGTAGTTTTTGTCTCTCGCCCTGCGCTGCGGGCGGTGTCAGGTGTGTTGGTCGCGATGGATGCGCTGCAGATGCTGGTGGATGAAGTGGCTCTCGAAGGGCTGGACGGTGTTACAATCCCTGCGCTCTGGCTCAGGGTGGAAAACCGGATTCCCAAATTCCCTCTGAACCTGGACCCTGCATCAAAGCAATTTCTTTGGCAGTCTTTGGTCTGCAATCCTGAAATCGAGTTTTACGAGCTTCCGGAGAAGAGGCCGCCTCTAGTGCTGGTGGACAGGTAAGTTCACGCTAGTGTGCAGGTTGCCAGCTGTGTTTACTCAGGCTTGGGCTTCAGTAAACTGGTACACCTAGGATAATAACTGCTTTCAGTCTTTGTTGTGCAGCTGATGATTGTGATAGTTTAATAGTAGTTTATTCTGTGCAGTTTACTGACTTGAAACGTAATTCAACGGACTGATACGTCCTGACATCTCTTTGTACACGGTATATCTGTTTAATTTATAGATATATGCATGTATGTGCTCGTTTTTCTTCCAGATTTAAGGACATTGATCCAGAAACTGGAATTCAGGAGATTAGAAGGGACATGGGTTCGTCAGAAGACATCTACCCTGTCCACATCGTTTTTGACAATAAACATGGAATCAAAGGATCTTGTCGGTTCTTTAACGAGAGGGTCAACATAACATCTCGGATAAGGAGTGCAGACTTGCAGCCGTGCTGTACACTAGAAGATGCATTTCAAAGGCAAGTCTAAAGTGTCCAAGTCTATAACTACAGCCTTGTCTGTGAAAAAAGGTTTGCAAGTTTAAAATGGTATGTGTGGGTATGTCAACAGGATTGAAGGAAGCCAGTATTACTCTGAATATTTTATATTACATCGTCAAGCCTTAATTGGTGCACTTACAAACTGTAGGTAAGGACTATACTTTATAGATTTAACAGTCTATAATGTCACTTGAATATCCTCAACGCCAAACATGTTTATGAATCATGGCATATAGTCCTGACTATTCTCTCCCAGAATTTGGTGTACTGAAACTGTTTACTTAGTAAGGGTGAAGGCCAACTTTAATTACTGCCCCAGAAAGAAGTTTTCTGGATTCCTATACATAAATAGGAACATAAATCTATTTGATATTAATAAAAAATCAGCTCTATCAGTGTTTTTTTTTAGATTTGCTATAAAAAAAACACTCCTGTTATTTACTGTCAACTTATTGTTTCAGTAAAATCTCTGGACATTTTAAACACAAGTGTTTATTTTTTAATATGATTGTATGTTTGTGCTTTGTTTATTGGGTTCTAAAATGTTTACATCCGTTTACTGGCACACGTGCATATTGAGATAAAATGTTAATTGTCTAGCTAGATATAGAATTAGGTTTAATTGTTGGATTATATTTGATTTGACAGATTTGTATTTTGAGATCTGTTACTTTATGGCTTCGATATTGATGTAGTTGAATATTTATGTGGACATGGAGACTGAATGTTTGGTAAATGTGCTGATGAAGGATTGATTGGCGCCAGATGTTTCCTTTTTTCTGCCTCCACATTTTGTGAAAAAAAAACAATGTTCTTTTAAAGAGCGCATTAGCTTCCGTATTCTGTTTGACTTTCAGCACCCGTGAAGGCAGTCATTTGATCAGAGCATGTTTTTGGAGATTATTAACAGTTAGGTGCCCATGTTCCGAGTTCCCTGAATGTTTTAAAGAAGCCTGAGAGCAGGGGATCCAGACCTGCTGAGCCTTCAGGCCTGAAGGTGTCAAACTGGTCGAAGGAAGCTGAACTGGACACCCGTGGCCCGTGACGCAGGGCTTCAGAGTTACCTGTGGTCTTCTCGTTTTCCTCTGAGCTCGGCTCAGCGCTCCTGCGGGCGAGGTGAACGGCTCCCGGTGTCGAGTGGCCGAGCCGCGGCGGCGCGGAGCGAGTAAAGGTCCTCTGTCCGTCGCCCTCAGGTGGGACGAGCGGCTGGTGCTGGTGGCCTCTCAGAGGGTCCGCTTCCGCGCCCTGATCGGCTGGGAGGGCGACCCGGACCTGACGCTGCCGGACTACTCCTACTGCATCCTGGAGCGCCTGGGGAGGTCTCGCTGGCAGGGCGAGCTGCAGAGAGACCTGCACTGCAAAGCCTTCAAGTAAAAGCACATGTCTGTCCTCTAATCTGAAAAATTGTGTTTTTTGATTATTTCACTGGCAACAAGGAAATGCCCAGAACAAGAAGGGAAGCAGCCCTCGATCTGTATGAGTGTTCGAATTTCACATTTCCAATTTCCATCAATTTGCAGAACCGATGCGAGGAAGTTGCACTACCTGAGGAAGGTGCTGGACAGAAACGGCCTGGTCACTCTTCAGTCACATGTCATCCGGCTGCCCAGTGGGAGCCAGCAGCACTCTGTGCTTCTTCTGCTAAAGAGGTTTCACATCGACAGGTAAACCTGAAGTGTTTCAGCAGTGTAGCGTGTGGGTGAGAGTCACAAAGAGGGAATCTGTTACGTCAAGTCAGAATGAAATGGCTCTTCTGAAACCCTTATGTCACCCCCTAGTTCTGGCCATTGAATCTTCATTCCTGGACCTGGCTTGGTGTTTTCAAACTGTCGTATACAACTAAATGAGTACTTGTCTCTAGCAGTTAAATCTCAACAGAACTGAGACTTTGCAATTCTCTTACACAAGGAGCTTTAAAAATTTGTGTTGTTAAATGAGGTATTCTGATCATTGTTTTAGGAGGAGCAAGTATGACATTCTTATGGAAAGAGTCTCCAATGTCTTGGCAGCCAAACCTGATAGAATGGCCATCATGAATGGCCTGAAAGAGGAAGTGGTAAGATGCACTAACATCACCCGGAGGATTGCTTTAAATATGAAATACTGGAAATGGGAAAAATGATGTATATATTGACAGTTTTTAAATGAAATGCATCATATGCAGTACCAACGGTCATTTTTGCTTCATGTGTTTTTCCCTGATCTAGGGCTCCCTATGCTGTCCATATTGTGCATGGATTATACAATATCCGTGTGATGTTGTATAATGGCAGGATTCATGACCAAAACACACAGTACTGTGTAGTTACTTACTGTGTAAATGATGTTGTGGTTATTGTTTTTAGCAAGTACACGTTTTGAATAATGCGTTTATAAGTAGTGGTAAAGATCAGGAAATGTTCAAACGTATTTGGGGTGGAGAAAGCTTTTTATTTCATTGTATTTCGTTATGTATTGAGCTTTATTCCTAAATAGCCCCTCCTTGTGGCAGTGCAGGAATGTCTTTAGCACCATCCATTATCACGCTAAAGCAGAGGCCTGCTGGATCAAGACCTCTATATATGTTCAAAGTCTTCCACAATCATGGATTTTCAGTTATGGATAATTCATTCGTTCTCCTTATCGGCTTCTATTCTGTTTTGTAAACAATGCTCTTAAAGCTTGCTTTCTAATGGTGCAATGTCCAAACCGGGGGGCCGTGGCGTCCCTCGGCGGTGTGCTTGCTCAGGGTGTCAGTGAGAAGACCTTCAAGAGGATGTACCAGTACATGTGCACGGCAGGCCTGGCTCAGACTGTCACTGTGCCCCTGCAGGAGCTGAACCCCCAGGGGGGGCCGTGCAAGACAAAAAAAGGTACGCCTGCCAGGAGCTGCTCTGGGTGCCTCATGGGGAGACGTGTTTCAATTAAAGACCTGTTGCATGTGGGCCCTGTCGTAACATCTGTACTGAATCCTGGATGGCATTTTGAGAAAGATATCTTTCCTGATTTCAGGCTTTGCTGAACCTGCATCATGTTCTGCAACAAAGATCCTGTCAGCTGCCATTTCACTTACAGGAATCAAAAGGAAAATAATTTTCCTGCTGTAAATACTGACGGAAAAGCACAGCAGGCGGTTCTCTGAAAGTGTCATGTGAAACCAGTGGGGCTGTTCCTCACTGGAGGGCTTGCATGAATCCCAGGAAATCTTTCTTCCCTCAGGCACGGATGTCACTGTGCGCTGCCTCAAGCTCCTGAAGGAGTACAGGAAGAAGGTGGAGGATGACGAGGACGATAACGAGGAGGACGATGGCGTCAGGAAGAGTGCCCAGTCAAGCGGGCGGTTCTGGGAGAGAGACATGCTCACTCAGGCTTTTGAAATAAGTATGTTTAGTCTGTCGTTTTGTTTGCTTCTGGGTGTGTTAACTAGTCAGAGCACCACTGATTCTGTTCTCCTGCTGTAAGTGTAGAGAAATGGATGGTATTGTGATGGTGGTTTGTGCAAATGCCTAAGAGGTGCAAGGCCCTGAGTTTAGTTTTTGACCCGGGCGCCTGTGTATGTGTAACACAACCTCTGCAGGGTACAGACTTAAACATGACATATTTTCACATTTTAATCCCTGGTGTGGGCAGCTACTCCCACACTAAACGGTTTCATAATTACAGATGTGGGCAGTGCTAAAAATTAAGAGCTTTTGAATCGTATTCTTAGATTGTTATTTAATGCATTCTTTAATGTTATGTGATTGATAAACAGTTGAGAACAGAGGAACCAAAGGAATTTCCCAGGCAGAAGTCAGAAGACATATGAATATTGGAAAACTGGAAGCGCGTATGATATGTCGTCTTCTGGAACGATACGAGCTCATCAAGGTAGGACGTTGTGCCTTTTTGTTTGCAGGTACACAAGTGCAGACTGTAATGTCACTGGGTTGTTGGAGGTGGCATTGTTACAAGCTTTTAAATACTGCACCGTAGAATATTTGAAATTGGATCTTTACACAAACTGTTGTATTTTGTGCAGAAAAAGCTAAGAAAAAATATCACTTTTATGAGTGGCATGGCCACCACTGCACAGCTCTTAAGTCTTAGATCTGATTCCAGTCTAAGACACCTTCGGTGTGGAGTCTGCATGTTCCTGTGTCCACATTGGCTTTTCACTGGTGGCTTTGGTTTCCTCCCAACAGAAGCATGTTGTTTCTGAAATGTCCTAATTGCCCTTGGTGTGCCTGTGGGTGAATGTGTGAGTCCGCCCTGCAGTGGACTGGCTGTAGCCTTGCCTTGTTCCTGGCTGCTGAGAGAGTTTATCTGTTTGCTTTGCCTGGGCTGACACCCTGTTCTGACCTGCTGGGTGAAAGGGCTTCATGGAGGACGAGGGCCGCCAGCGTACCACCAAGTACATCAGCCGGACGCACGTGGGGCAGAGCAGCCTGATCCAGCAGTTCGAGAAGGAGAAGGCCCGCAGCGAGGAGCTGACGACGGGCAGTGGCTGTGCGGCGCGGCGCGCGCAGCCCAAGGGCGCCCTCTCCCCGGGCCACTCCAGCGCGGAGGAGGAAGAGGAGGGTCCCGGGGCAACCGGCGGCAGGGCCACGCGGCGCAGAGTGTTGAAGGTCAACACCAGGTCACTCTTCCGAAAGTCCAGACGCCATCATGCTGTTCAGCACTCGACGCCAAATAAAAGTAAGATCTAATGTGCCAGCCTTCTGCTTCACCTCCTGTACCAACTTCTCATTTCACAAAGAAGATGAAGCAGATAATTCAGTGCACTTCCAAACATACACATCCAGGATGTAATTATGTTCCTCAGGAATTACAGATCTGAGGAATTCTGGAAGTAAAGCAGGAGATGGATCAATGTCCGCTTGGACTGCTAGTTTACGTTCGGAGTGGGAATATGAATTTCATAAGATTTTAATTACTTTTTAATGGTTTAACCAATCTTTTTTTCTTCCTGGATTTCAGAATTAAATATACCTGCTTTGAAAAGACGACGTGATAATCTTGACTTGGCAGAAGCCACAATAGGAAAAGAAGATATTCATGCAACTCTGGATAACTCTGACATCAGCATGGAGTTTTCTGAGCAAGCAGCAAATCAGAGCAGCAGCTTTCATTCAGTAGACAATGAGGGGAGCGTTACTGTTATTGAAGAAGTTACGATGGATCAATCAAAGGTGTGGTTTTCAATCGTAAGATTTGTCTTAAGATACTTTGCGATGCTCACGGACCTGATCTTTATAAAATATTTTGAAATGTTTGTTTTTTTTCCTAGGATCTTGATGTAGTGCCAAAGAAGAAGTCAAAGTCTAAGTCTCAGGAGAGGCCCCATGAGACATACAGGCTGCTAAAACGCAAGAATCTTATAATAGAAGCTGTCAGGAGCCTCAAACTGATCGAAAACCTGTACACGTAAGAAAGGTTTTCTGAATCTCTGTAGTTCTGAAGGAGAGGGAACTTGCTCACGTTTGAACATGGATTAACCTAAATGGCAGATTGTTTAAAAAAAAAGATGTTAAAGCCCATTACAGCTGTTTTGTGGTTTCTTATCCACTTTTTAGAAGTGAGCTTATGTATGAAAATCATGCAAGCTAGTTGTTTTTATGGTTTTCTTGCAGAATGAAGTCAGTAACTGAGCTTACATTTCATTCAGTGAATGGTTGAATTCTGTGATCATTTTTTAGGTTGCAGAAAATGATAATGGATGAAGAAAAACAGGATGGAGTCGTCACCAAATGTTGCAAAAAGTCCATTTTGAGACTTGTGCGTAAGCTCTCACAGGAGGGACTGCTGAGACTGTATCGCACAACAATCATACAAGACGGCGTCAGTAAAAAGGTCATTCTGAAGGTGTTCGTTCTTAGAATGTGTTTGCCCAGGCAAAGGAGGCGGTAGATCATGTCAGTATTACAATAAGCTGAAAGTCTTTTTTGTACTTCCTGAAACTAAGACATGCAGTTTTCAGCTCTCATCAGTCTTGTCCTAAGTCTTAGTGGCAGTGCTCGTACTCCTGCAGACGCTGACCACGGTACCACCTGTTCCATGGATGTAACGTGTCCAAAGCTTTCAAAATAAAATAGGAACAAATGACATTGTATTTTATTGTGGATATAGTAGAATTTATATATTATAAAAGTGTAGATATAAATTTATACTTAAGTGGGCATGCAAAAACATTAAGACCAAGTACAGCTACAGAATCTTTTATCTGTAGAATCATTCTTTTTGAAATGGGACTTTGACGGATATTGGTGCATTTGTATCTGCAGGTGGAGTTCGTGGTTCACCCCTCCATTCTTCAAGATGATCCTTTGGTTAAAAGTGCCATTGAACAAATTCGATTCCGAATTTCTAGCTCTTACTCAGCTCATCGGTAAGAATATTTCCTTGAGGGTACAGAGATATGCACATAGGAGCCCAAGTGTTTCCTGCTTTTCTCTTTTTGGATGTTGGACGTTCTTTTGTTGTGACTTTATAAGGTTCTTTATTTCATTTATTGTCTTAAATTTCAATCTACAGAGTTAAACCTGGACTGGCTCAGACAGAGAGTGCCGAGTCTGGGCCTGCGAGAGACGGGGGAGACCAGGAGAGGGAGGGTCTTCCGACTCCCGAGGAGCTGAGGAAGGGAGAGGGCTCATCGGGAGCAGCAGCCAGCAAGACTGATGAGAAGATGGGAGTCTCCCAGCTGAAGAACTTCCAGCCCACCATCAGTGAGCACCGACCCTCGAGTGCCAGTCTTCGCTTTAGCTTCTTGAAATGCCCTCGTTCTCACTCTTCACTACTGCCTGACATCTGTTATTTTATGTGAATTTAATATGATGTAAATATGATTTCCTTGCTGGATGCTAAAATGGAGCGATGAGAGCAAAATTAGCATTTAAACTATTTCGAAGTGTGTGTTTTTCTGGCGGGGGGGTGTTTAATTGTAGAACATGTGCTCTGTAGTTCCAGGGCTAGGCCGGTCGCTGGGCTTTCAGCCCAAGATGCTGAGACTGAGGCTGGTGCACTTGTTCCTGTGGTACCTCATGTACGGCCATCCTCTGAGGGACGAGAGCCAGAGCCCGAAGCCCCTGGCGCCGGAGGGGCGGGACGAGGAGCCGGGACACGGCAGCCCGGCCAGTCAGGGCGATCCGCAGTCGGCAGCAGCCAGCCAGGAAGCGGCGTCGCAGGGCGTGAGCGAAGGAAAGGAGGCGGCTAAAGAAAGCGAGTGCCCTTCCGGGACTGATGGAGGTGCTGAGAAAGATCAGTCGTCCGTCGACAAAACTGGTAATTCACAGCCATCTAGTCCGGTCTGCCTTACCAGCAATTGTCAGGACATGCTGCTTTCTTTGGCTGAGTCTTTCATTTAAATTCTCAAAGGATGATGGTGACCTGTGTGGAAACAAGTGGAAAACAAGAGCCAGTGTCGTTTCGAAACTCTGATTCTTGTTTTTATTCTTGCACTTTAAAAGGACAGTCTGATTTTCAGCACTGCTGCAGTTTTCACGTTTGTTGTATACACTCAGATGTCACCCCCCTCCTCTCCTCGGTGCTGCTTCTTTCTTTCCGTGGTGTGAACGGGACAGGAGCTCTGCTCACGGCTTGTGTTTCCGCCCTGCAGTGTACGTGGACGATCTGTCCTGGAAGAGGTATATTCCCCCCACCCCCATCCACAGGGAGTTTGGCTACGGATGGGCCCTTACAAGTGATATTTTGCTTTGCCTGCCGCTCTCCATTTTCATCCAGATCTTCCAAGTCAGCTACAAGGTAAAAGAGTTGTGTTTTTAAATCGACCAGGTTAACAATATTGTGAATATCCAACCAAGCCTCTTGAAGCGTCTTTGAAGAAGTGGGATCAGTCTTTGGGGGGGAAAAAAAACATTTAGTTTTACCTCTGTATTTCTGAATATTTTTTATGTTGAGCCATGAGCAGAATAAAGAAGTGTTTTCATTTTCACCGTATGGAATCACGATTAAGACCTTGGGTTTGAAATGGTAATGACGAGTATAAATATGTAGGAAATAGTGGGGTTTCTGAAAGCTCACTGTAGGTCAGAGTTCAGTTGGCTAGCATTACTGTAACTAGTATGAATAATGTTTTGAATTATTTTATGTTTGAATTTCTGCTAATGCAGTTTAATTCTAAAAGGCAACTGATGCTATTATAAACCCAAATTCATTAATAAAGACCGAGGATTCTCTTGAGTGTCTCCTGAGCTGCTGTACAGGGTGATCAGGTGACGATTCTGGTTTTCTCTTGTGTGCGTCGTGACACAAGGTGGATGGCTTGGAGGACTTTCTCAATGATCCCATCAAACAGCATTATCTCGTCAGGTTCTTGCCAGGGAAGATGAAGAAACAGCTTCTGTATAAGAGGTACTTTCTCTTCTTTTCGTAGTTGACAATTGCAAGTTATGGGAAGGAACTTAAATGTAGTCATGCTTTTGTAATTACAGGAAGTATATATTTTCCTTTTACGAGAGCATGCAACGTTTGTGCTACATGGGGCTTCTCCAGTTTGGACCTTCAGAAAAATTTCAAGACAAAGACCAGGTAGTCTTAATTATATATATATAAAAATTAAAATGGTAACTGCGTTCTCCATGTTCTGTTTGTAGATAAAGAAGAAATGAAATAAATGTAAGAAAAAGCTGATTAGAAACACACTTTCTTTTATTGAATATTACTGCTAATATAAGGTGAAGTGATGTGGACAAAAATACCAAGTGAACTTTTCTGCAGATTATTCGGAATTGTCTGGGTGCAGGTTATATATTTCAGATTGTAGTGTGGAAATTGTTGTTTGGGAGGTTGTTAATATACTCCCGTTTAAGCTGATTTAAATATTTTTTTCTTGAATAAATGTGTAACATATCTAAAGATACAGTTTAGATCCAGGGTTTAATACGTGTTGTCCGTACTGAGGTTTATTCTGTTGTTTCTCTCTCCTATAGGTCTTTATTTATCTCAAGAGAAAAGCCACCATTGTGGATACCACCTCCTGTGAGCCACACTATAACCTGGTCCGGGGAAATCGCCCTTTTGAGAGGCGCTTTTATACTTTCAACACCTTGCAGGATGTGAAGAACTTCTGGTTTGATATGCAGTGTGTCTGTCTGAACACGCCCTTAGGTACAGTGTCCTGCTGCTACAGTCTCACATCCCGGTTCATTCTCATGTAATTGTGACCAGCTGTGGAACTGGTGATGCAGTGGTGCAGCTCCCTGTTTTTAAAGAAATATCTTTCCCCTATTCAAATATCACAGCAAGTGTTACCACAGCAATACTAATTATAATTGTAACAATTATGAATTGCATTCCTAGAGCACTCTTCATTCCACAAGATTCCAAGGCTCTTTAATGTAGGGAGTGGCACGCTTCAACAGACACTGAAGAGCGGTACCCACCTGGCACCAACAGCCCATCACACAGCAGGGTCCTCATTCCCCTTTTCTTTCAATAATCCCACGGGATTTTTAATGAACATTCATTTGTCTTACCCATCCGACCTGGAATAGACAATTGTGCTGCCAAGACATAAAGACATGCAACTGGGTCTTCCAGATTGGTGTGAATAACAAAAACTGGTTATTGTTAAATTCATGCATCTAACTGCTGCCATTAATTGCAGGTGTTGTCAGATGGCCTCGGGCAAAGAAGAGCTCTGCCCCAGAAGACCAGATAAACACTGCAGATCCAGCGATGGAGACCAAATTCTCTGCTGAGAAGCAGTCCAGCAAAGACCTCTCTCGAATGATTGAACTGGCAAGGTAGTGTAGGTGCAGCATGGGTCAGCATCCTCAGAACTAATGTAGACACTTCTGAAAGCACTTTTCAAGGCTCCATAACTGTGTAAAAACATAGTTCTTTGGAAGATAAACTACATAAGTAACTGTTTCAAAACAAACTCTTTAGTTAGTTACCCTAAGATGTTCTGGAATTATAATTCTTGAATATCTTTCCAGTGCTGTTCCATTTTGGTGATTCTTTTTGAAGTACATATTTTTATTCAAAACGTCATCACATTGACCACGGGTGAAAAGTGATCAGTCTTCACAAACGTTAATGAAGAAATAAAAACGTAAATGTTTCTTGCGTGACTTGTCAACACTAGACGGAAGAAGCTTTGGCAGCAGTTACATCTTGAGCTCTGTTCTTCCTCACCAACCTGCTCAGCTTGCTCAAGCTCTGCCAGTTTACTGGGGTTCATCAGTTGTCTTGCCTTCTCCTGAAATAGTAGGTCTGCCATTGTAAATGGGTTGGACGCGTATGCCATCAGCCTATTTTAGTTTTTGATTTTTGGTCACAGTTTTGCCCATTGAGCATCTTTCAACATGAAATGTGGCTCTGGAGCATTGCTAGAACTCTTCTCTTGAAGAAAGATGTGTATACATGGTTCATCGCCGAGTGTTCGTGTCGACTGTTACAGGCCACACTGGAGGCACTGTGGAGCCGCAGCACAGTTGTCACGGGACTTTGTGGTCATGTGTGGGTTTTGCCTGTTCTTGCAGGGGGAGCCGCGAAGTGACAGACGAAGGACTTATCCCCGGGGACGGTCAAGGTGCCGCGGGGCTGGACTCCAGCTTCTTCAGCCACCTGAAACGCAACTGGATTTGGACGAGTTACATTCTGAACAAAACAAAGAGCGTGAGCTGCGTTATTCTTTTTTAAAAAACATATTTAAAAGAACAGGCTGAGCATTTGTTTAGTGTTTTGATGATTTAAGGATGAGTATGAGAAAATCTCTTTTGATCTTTCAACAGTTTGTGGAAATGCAGCGCTTTCAGTGGCCCTTGAATTTTGTTTCTACAGGCAAAATGAAATGGATTTGATAAGGGATTTAAGTTGTTTTTTTCCCCCAGCAATATTTTCTTCTTCATCCGTGCAGGGTAGTGGCACTCTTGATGGAAGACCTACACTGAGGCTGAAAACCTTTTTGAGGAAACATCCTCTGCCTCTTTCATTTGAGAGTAAGAAATGCTGCTGTTTTTAACCGTGGATTTGGGGTTTGCTGCTGTGTTATGGAGCCATGTGACGGACGTCTGTTATTTTCTTCCTTCAGGCAGCGTGGTGAATAGAATAGTGGAGTCCAGGCTCCTGGACGTCATGAAAGAGGATGAAGTTCTGATTGAAAATCAATGCAGTGACACCAGAAACATGCGAGTCCGTGGTGGGAGAAATCAGAAGCGCAAGAGACTGAAAAAGAGCACCGAGAAAAAAGGGAAGAAAAAGACAAAGGGTAAGAAAGGTAATCTTCTTGATTGAAATTTCAATTAAATGTATGAAATTTGATGATGAATGCTTTGTACTAAAATTTCAGGGCTTCTGTCTTTTGGTGTTTTGTGGTCATGAAATTCCCTTTGAAAGTGTTTCGAGTCAGCTCAGGCTGTTTATCAAAACCACACACATAAAATTGTTGAATGTGAAACAAGATTATGTGTTTTTATCTTCATGACTTGAACTAACGTTTGTTGTCTTTTGACAGAGTGCTTTTGATTTGTTTCACATCCTGTGTGACTAGCATGTCATGCTTCTGATAACTTAATTGAGGTGCTTCTGTTGCTTCGTATTTGCAGTAATGTCCTGTTGTTGAACACGAGATCTACCTTGCAATACTCGGAATAAAACAGTGGCGTACGTGAACGATGACGAAAGATCAGAAATGCAGTGTTTAAGCTGTTTTCTGATTTGTAGAACACATTGCTAGTTGGCACTGAACACTTTTTTTCTAAACAAGATTATCTAAAATGCAATCAAAACTGGTTAAAAGGAACATTAGTAGCCAAAACTATCATTAATGTGAGCCTGCGTGGTTACATCTTCCCCAAGGAAATCAGGGACTCGGCCACTTTGGGTGCTTTTGAATCAAGCTGAAACTTTTTTGGTTTTGTCTGCATTTGAGATTTTTGGCATTTGATGTAATTGTAAGCATCGGTAATCTTCATTGATTTTCTGACACAATAGTCCATTTAGGGTCCTGGAAAGTGCCTCACGGTGCTGTCTCTCGAGGTGGTTGCTTTTAAAGGCGACTTGTCCACCGTAGGTCCCCTCAAGCCCTTGCGGTTGGTCTTGACTGCGGTGAGATGGACCCGTTTTCTCTCGTCTTCCTCAGAAGAGAAGAAGGATGCGCAGCGCCGCCGGCAGCCGCGCTTCCACGACGAGGCGGACCGCAGCGCGTTGCAGAGGATGACGCGGCAGCGTGTGTGCTGGAGCGCCCAGGAGGACGGCTTCCTCATGCTCTGCCGGGTCGCCAGCCACGTCCTCAACCGGAAGGTCAGGGAGATTCTCCATCTCCGTTCGTTTAGCAAACTGGTGTTCAGACGTGGTTGATTTCCTCATTTGTCATTTTGACCTCCCTTATTCAGTTATTCACACACGTTTTGTTACAGTATGTCTTTTAACTTGATGAAATGCGCTGTCAACTGTTTGTCAGATCAAGAAGCCTTTTGTCCCTTGGCAAGTTGTGAGAGACCTTTTGCACTCTCAGTTTGAAGAGTCTTTGGATAAGACATCTCTTTCAGTGGGGCGCAGATCTCGATACATCATGAAGAACTCTCAGACCTACCTCAACTTTAAGTGAGTGCCCATGCTTTTATATTCTGGATAATTCGTCATGTATGTACAAAGTACACCCTTTTCCTTTTCTGCAATGCTTTAAAAGTTTGCATGTCTTTTAGTGGTTAAAAATACCAAACCATGACTATAAAGATTTTTTTCGAGGTAAAAAGGTTCGCCCCACTGAAGTTTGTGAAGAGTTGCTGTGTTAGAGTACTGACACTAATTCTGCAAGATATTGCTGAATAAGATGTTTTTTAAGAGCAGCCACTGCTTGGACTGGTAGAGGTGAAATTTAATTTACATGATCATGCAAGTAAAAAAGGTTTTACAGACAGTGAAAAGTGGCTGAGTACTGTGCATTTCCTACTTATTTACTGCGTTTCTTCTACCATATTTAATTTTAGAATTTGCCTGGCTGAAGTCTACCAGGACAAGCCACTTGCTGATGAATTTGTGAACAGGAATAATGACTATGAAAATCCTGAGGTAACTAATTTCAATATGAAAAATAAACGAAAAAAATATATAAGATTACAGTTTCACACACAGATTTGAAATGGATCCTTTTGATTTGAACAGTTCTTGTTTCTTTTCTGAAACTGAAATCTAAGGGTGAGTTAATGGTTATCTGTGATGCTGGAACTAAAGTTTTGCTTGAAAAGCCATTGATATAAAATAAAAGAAAGTTGTGTAATCTAATAGGTTGTTCTTGCAAAAAATGATTGTCTGTTTAGTCTTTTATTGTACAATATGTAATAGAATAATCTTTCTTAAAGTTCACTTAGATAAAAAATGGAAAATGTCTTCTGAATCTTCCTAGGAGGTTCTCTTAAATTATTTTTTGGGCATTTATTGTAAATCATCGATTAACAGCTGGAATGTTACACAATAGGTGTGTGCAGCAGAATTCAAAGAGTTTGTTGAGGTGCTGAGGCAGAAATTTAGTTCTTCCGCTGGAACTTCCGGTCTGAAAATCCCAGATACTAAAGAGGAACTCTTTAGAAGGTGAGTTGGAAAAAGTTTTGTAACCCATTTTTAAAATAAACTAACAGTAATTATTTTAAAAATGTTTTTAAAAATGAACCTTTATTTAATAATACACTGAGGATCAGAAGAAACTTTAAAACAATTCACAAAGTTCTTATCAGGAAAATGACCATTTTATGTAGCAGATATTGTATTGAACAGACAGGTGGCAGAATCAATGCGCAGATTAATGTGAAAGTGACAGGCTAGTAGCACCAGATATGTGGCCAGATCTGTGTTAAATGCGTTGCGCCTCCGATTTAGCTCTTACAGTCTGGACAAGCACACATCTGTTCACTGGGTTCTGAGCTCCAGATGTGCAACTCGTGGAACTGAAGTCTGCCTAGCAGGGCATCCATAGATGAACACACCTTCCGTATGCAGCAGTTAGTCTCAGTCTGTATGACACTCGTAACTGATCTGACAAAATGACTTAAAAAAACATTTCATCAATATGCAGTATCTTATTTTTCTAAAAACATCCATGTGTAGAATGATAGTTTTCTTTTGCTTGCCAGTTTTTATGGTATTTGTTAATATTTGATACTGATTATGAGCTGCTTTGTGTTAAATTCCTCACAGGTTCAGTGTGTATGTTATTGAAGATGAAACTGAAAGAGAAATCCAGCAAGACATTCTGACAAGGTATTGAATAAATACCTGTTGTTAATTGCTTTTAGGAAAATATTTCCTATGTTTCTCTCTAAATTGTTTTTTTTTTGTAATTCTAGCCAGGAAGATATCCACGCCATTGTGCTGAATAATCTCATCCAGAGTACACTGGCACTTTCAAATCTACAAATGAAGTCCTGCCGCTCCTTTCAGGTAAAGAAACCCCAGTCACGTTAGGTGATTCTTTTTCCAGTTCTTATTGTCTTCTCTTTAAATGGCACTGAAAGGACAGGAATGTAATAATAATACCCCTACAGTTAGATATACTTACATAGAGCTTTTCTGGACACTCCACTCAAAGCGCACCTGGATGATGCGACGGCAGCCGTAGTGCGCCAGAACGCTCACCAGACATCAGCTCTCAGTGGGGAGGAGAGCAGAGTGATGAAGCCGGTTCAGAGATGGGGATTTTTAGGAGGCCATGATGGGTAAAGGCCAGGGGAAAATTTGGCCAGGATGCCGGGGTTACACCCCACTCTTTTTGAGAAATGCCCTGGGATTTTTAATGATTACGGAAAGTCAGGATCTCGGTTTTATGTCTCATCTGAAAGCTGGCATCTTTTTTACAGTATAGTGTCTCTGTCTGTCTTGAATCTGTGACAAATTTGTTAGTTTATAAATAAAAAAGACAGCCAGCTCTTTTAGGCCTAAGGATCCGCTCTCATTGTTTAGTTTATCCTTGCTCATTCGGGTCAGTTGCCACCACTGTTAGGTCCTTCTGCTGTTTTTTGTATTGAAACTGTGAGCCAGAATGGTTGAGAGATTAAAATCTGCAGAATTCAAATCATTTCCACTATCACTAACACTGAGCATATGTTAAAACTTAACCTCCCCACCAAAAAACAGTTTTTCCCGATTCGGGAAAAGGACCTGCTTGTAGCATGCCCAGGTGTACTCGCGGTGCTCTCTTGTGCTCCCAGACGTTCCACCTGTACATCCAGTACCGGGACGAGGTGCTGTGCCAGGCCTTCCTGAAGTGCCAGCAGCGCGGGCTGGTGAACCGCCGGCGGGTCAGCTGCCGGTCTGGGCCCAAGAAGAGCCGGGCGCTGCCCTTCGTGCCCATGTCCTACCAGCTGTCTCAGTCTTACTACAGGTGGGCGCCTCTCCCTGCAGTCGCTTGTCGTTACTCGGATTTCAGATGATTCGTGGTTCAGGGGTAGCTTGAGATCCGTTCAGCCGAAAAACCTTTGTCTTTTCTGTGTTTGCTGTTCAATACAGGTGCTTCACCTGGCGCTTCCCGAGCTCCCTCTGCACGGAGTCCTTCCAGTTCCTGGAGAGGCTCAGGTCTGCTGGCAGAGAGGACAGAGCCAACACCTTCTCCTTCCAGGACCAGGAGGCTGCGGACTCGGAGCCCGGCATGGTGGTCTTCTCCCTGGACGCCCTCGGAGGCCACTGCCTGGCCAGCTTGTCCCTCTTCATCCTGGGCTTGCTCTCCGTGGAGGTGTCCATTCCTGAGCAGATTGTGGTGGTGGATAGCACTATGGTGGACAATGAGGTTGTGAAAAGGTGACTAGAGCTTCTGCTCATCTAGACCTAGTCGTGACTGTTTTTTTAAAGATTTGAATTCAGTTCATTTTTTATACTCGCCCAGCTTTTGTTAGACTGTGGCGAAGGCGTGGGAGATCTCGAGGTGCAGAGCGCTCCTTGTGACATGTCCGTCTCTAGAGACGAGCTGCACGTGCCTCACACTCGAATCAGCGCTGATTGCAGGAGTGGCATCTCTCTCACTGGTGCCCAGCGAGTCAAAGAAGGAGCCAGCTGTTATGCCAGAGGGTGGAAAGTAGTGTGCTGATGCCCACCCTACTCCCCTGGCGTGCTGCCCCTTGAAGAAGCTGGTCATCGTTGGCTATGACACGACTCAGGCCCTAGTCCGGCACATCTGTGGTGGAATCTAGGATTCGATCTGCCTTCTAAATGAGCACCTTCACTGGTTAAGCTGCCTGGGAGCCCTAATTAATTCCTGATATTGCAAAAACACAAGCTTGTGTGACGTGTGCTTCGCTGTTACAGAAGGGCTGGTAATAGACGTGCCTATTAAATGCCATGTCTATTCTATTTGTGTGTATTTACATTTCTTGTGATCTGTTAAAAATGTGTAAACTGAGCAGCATTTTCAGTCAGTGACCCCCAGTACATTTTTATCCACTAGGTTTCTTTTAAAGCAGGCCTGTTTAGACGTTAACCTCAACATATCTTTCACACAGATGTTTTTTTTCTACATGTTTGATATGCGCTGTTGTGTGTTTGTCAATGGTTATTCAGCATGGGCAAGGAGATGGATGAGGAAGATGAAGATGAAGCAGAGGAGTGTGAAAGCAAGCGTAAGATTGAGGTGAAGGCGAGACAGGCCTCCCACACGAACTACCTGCTGATGAAGGGCTACTGCGCCCCAGGCATCGTCAGCCTGCGGAACCTCAACCCCAACGACAACATCGTGGTGAACTCCTGCCAGATGAAGCTGAAACTCCGCTGCACTCCTGCCCACAGCCACTTCCTCCCCGCAGGTCAGTCCAGAAATCGGCCGAGAAGAAGCACAAGTTCCCTTGATATAGGTTTCCACTACAGTATTGAAAACCATTTAGTCCTTAGTGGAAAACCTACATGATTTCCAATCTTAATGTAATGTTATTACGTAACAAGTAAAGGTTTATTCCAATCCTGAAAAGAAAAGAAACAGCATATCACAATGATAAGATAGAGATAATGGTTCATTAGTGATTTAGTGATTCACACCCGGAGAAGGCTCCACAGCCGAAATGTTTCTTTTCTTTTCTTTTGAGCAGGGAATAAATCTTTACTTGCTCCTTTGCAGCATACGCCTGCTGACGCAACCCCCTACTTGAACTACGTTGTTAAGGGATTGGCACATCGAGAGTCAGTTTTTAGAATGTTTTTTTGCCATTCTTTTGTAGCATTTTGTGAGTTTGGCATTTTTAAAAAGAGTTTTAAAATGTGTGTTTTGTTTTCTCGTTTGCAGTTACAGGCCGTGTGGTTGGTGTAGTCTAGCTACATGCTGTGAAAACTGGGGGGCCCCAGGCTGAGAAATAAGCCCATGCCATGATGTTGGGCACAGTCACAGCCACGTGTGAGGGTGCTTTAGAGGTCGTTAGGAATAAATCAGTCAGAATGCCAGGTAGTACATGGATTAAAAACACACAGTATAATACCAAAGCATGCATAGCAAATCACAAAGGATAAAAGGATGGAGTGTCTTGTAGAAACATTCAGACAGTCACTTCACAGGCAGGCAGGTGCAGAGGCAGAGGCTGATTGTGTCCTCGTTAGGGGAAATGGAGAGGAGATTGAATTCATGTATAGAAATTACTGAGGGGATGGCATACATGAGATGAATTCAGGGAAGTATTTCGTGCTCCACGCAAAACAAAGACACAGGGTCACAGGTGTAAACTAAAAGGAATTCATTCAGAAAAAGAATAGGAAACGCTTCTTCCCACACTTCGGGTACTGGAAACACGATTCCCATTCACGAGAATCATGGCTGCCCAGACTCTGGACCCCTGGTAGTAATGGCTGGATGAAATGGCTCAGCTACTAAACCACCAAACCCGCAAGAGGGGCTGGAGTGGCTTCCTCTCATTTGCGGTCCCCGTGTTCTCACAAACCCCACCCCTCCACATGTTTTTCAGCTCCTTCTTTCCTGGATGAGATTGTCCACGGAGAGGCCTGCTTGCCCAGCAGCTTCACTCGGCTCCTGACGAGGAGCGACGATTCGAACAGACTCGAGCGCTTCCAGTCCTGGTGCATCGACCGCTGCGGCTACAGCCCCGAGGACCTCCAGGCGGTGCTCGACGTGTGCAGCGCGATCGAAGACTCCCGATTCTATGGCTGCGACAAGCTCCAGCTGAGGAGGCGCTTTGCTGGCTTTGAGGAGAAGGGAGACGGCCGCACGAGAAGCTTGTGCCAGTACCTCGAGGTGAGCCGCCATGGGTGTGCTGTGTGGGAGTGGGGCAGTGAGGCTGCTGCTTTTACATCCAGCTGGTTATCTCTTACTGTTCATAAGAACGGTGCGTGTCTGAGCTGTAGTGATCAACACCCTGATGTGAAGGGTGCCTGTAGTCCTGTTATTCTGCCGTCTCTGGCGTTAAAACTAAGTCTGTTCGGCTTCTGGCAGCACAGCAAGGTGTGGCAAGGCTTGTACTAGGTGCTGTATTTTATTTGACCGGAACTGTTCTGCGTCCTTCGAGATGTTAAAACCGTTTTACTCCGGATGTTCCGATTATGAAAGTGATTGTGAACACAGCTGAGCTTCTGCGGATTGAACGTTGTCTTTTTAGGATCACGTACTGTAGCTTGAAATATCCCACTTCCCGTTTCACTGTAGGACCTGATCAGTTTGGAGGAAATAATCGAAGTTGGTGGCAATACAGTGCGGCTGGTTGCATTCAAGTATTTGGATCCTTGGGTGCTTCATGTAAATAACAGTATAACGCCAAAGGATAAGGCCGTTAGTGGGGACCCATCGGGAGCCAGGAAGAGAAAACTGGAGGAGCCGTGTCTGGAGAAGGGCCCGCCTCCTGGGAAAGTGCCTCATTTGGAATCTGATAGCGAAGTGACCGTGGATACAGTTCATTCAGAGGAACAAGGTCAGGACCAGAGCCTGAGGACGTCCAGCTGTGACAGAGCAGACCCTTCGCAGAGCACAGAAGAATGTAACAACGCACCCCAAGCAAGAGGCATTGATGAGGAAAGTCAAAACAACAAAGATCACTTGGGAGATACAGAGATGGAAGAAGGTAGCTCAGTTTTGGACGGTGCAGTGTCATCCAGCACTGACCAGATGTCCGCTTCACATGAGGGAGCAGCCTCAAAACCGAATGTTGGAGGTGAGCAGATCATTCTGCTTTCTTTGTGTCTTGTTGAAAGTAGTAGTCTGTGAATGGGATGTATTTTCTCTGCTGTTTCTGATTGCATTCTTCTTATTTAATTGGATTTAACTCAAGCACACATTGGATGCTGTGCCAACATTTCCATTAGTGCACAATTCCAACTTTTTGGTAAGAGTACTAAAAACTGGCTTTTATCGTCAACCATTAAGGTGGCCCAACGGATGACGATGACCCGTGTAGCACAACATCGGAAACAGTGGGTGACAGGTACGCAATTCCAGATTCAGCTCTTTTTAATAAAAACCATTCCCTTCCTGTCCCCAGTACTTTTGTGGCACTTTTCTGTTTCATCCCATCTTCCTCTTGGCAAACATGTTTTGGTGCGCTCTTCTGCGAGACCGCGGGCAGTGACCCTCTGATTGGCGCAGGGGCGAGCGCGGGAGGGTGAGCTTCGTGAGCCGGCCGTGGCGGGTCGTGGACGGCACTCTGAACAGGCCGGTGTGTAAAGGCATGCTGGAGGCCTTGCTGTTCCACGTCATGAGCAGGCCGGGGGTCCCGGAGGGCGTCCTGATAGAGCACTACAGTGGCGTTTTACAGCCCGTTGTCTTCCTGGAGCTCCTGCAGGTGAGAACGCTCTCGCCTCTGCCTAAGAGGACATCTCTGCAGGAAGGGAGCTGGAACGCTGATGTTGTTTTCTCTCGCGCCAGGGGCTCGAAGAAATGGGCTGCGTCCGGAAGAGGCACATCAAGAGGGAGGCTCATGCCTCTCTTTTCTCAAGACAAGACTTTGCAGACCAGCAGGAGGAGCAGCTGCAGCCCGGCACCGCCTCCACTGTCTTTTACGAGCCCTCGGTGGACTGCTGCCTGCGACTGGGCAGAGTGTTCCCATCTGAACCCAACTGGAATAAGTGGGTCCAGTAAAGTCCTACCTGAGATACAACAACACATGGAAGGGGCACAGGAGACCACAGAAAAATGGTCTGTCTTTAGTTTGCCGAATATGTAGGCTGTGGAGCTTCATTATTAACAATGATGGCTGGTTTAACGGTCAAGACGAAAGAAAGGGTTTTCAAAAATTAACTTTCATTATGAAGTATTATAAGTCTTTTCTTTTCTTGTAAATTATAGTGTTACTTTTCATCTATTTTCAGCACTTTCTTTGCTGAAACAATTATTTTATTTGGCACAAGCATTGTTCAGAAAGCTGAGCTGTGATATTGTAAGGTGGGTTTATTATGTCATTTAATATCTCTAGGAAATAATAAAAACACAGACGAGGTTTAATGATAGAAATGTTTATTTTTATACAGTTTCAAAAAATCTCTAAACTTTCTTATGAATAAATTACTCAATTCAATTTGAAAACTTTTGAATGCCTTTGTCTTAAAACACTGATCAATGAGCTAGTGTTGTACCCTCGATATTGCTACCATTACAGTTTTATTTTTCAATAAAGATGCCACTGTAAATCTTTTAGTGTTCATTCTTTCAGTGTTATTTTAAAAAGGGATACGTTTAGGTTTGGTTAGGTAGTCTTTAAAAATATTTTCACTGAAATTGCCCTTATTATTATACCAATATTGTTGACCACTAGTCATGGTATATATTCAAGTTAAAATTCTTTATTTGGATTTGATGAGGAATTAATTTTACTAGCTTTTGGTTATTTCTGAAAGGCTTTAAATTATGCTGAAGACATTTAAGGTAGTAAATTGGAAACAATCTGTCATTTTACAAAAACCTTAGTGCATTCTGTGTGCTCCATCAAGAACAATACTGCAGATATTAAAAGCCTTTAATAATGAAGTCTTCTATATTCCTGCACTATCATCCGATTCCTGTCCCTCCACCTCTGAGCTCCCGGTTATACAGTCTCATCATTTTAGTACCTGCATAATGATAATAATTGCAGGATTTCTCTCTTGGCTCCAAAGTGAGTGAAATCACCCATGACAGACATGGGAAACAGCCCGTGTGTGTTAAAGTGAGAAAATCCATCCGTCCATTTCTTAACCAGTTCCTCCAGTCCAGGCTCCGGACACACTCGCACCAGGGCTGTTCTGCAGGAAATATGTGAAAACAGAGTGAGCAGGCAAACTCCACCCAGAAAAGAATTAGGTTGAATGTTTGCCTACTCAGGTCTAGAACAGAACAGAGGACCTTACCAGGCTCTCCAGGAACAGAGTCAGACAGTGTCATAGTCCATAGTTGTGGCACAATTTGAATAGCAGCTGGTTCCAGATACAGAGATGCACATCTGAGACCCTGAACAAAGAGTTTGGATCTCACTTGTTTATCCTGTCATCTTACAAGGCTATTCTTCAGCTCTTACTCCAAGGACATCAAGGGACGCTAAAAGCTGCATCAAAGACAGCCTATTATGTTACATTGATGTAGGAAATTATAATCTTAGATATCAACAAAGGTATTCAGACAGAATTGTAGCTAACTAATATATTTCTCTTTTAATCTCTTTGTGAAATCGATTGAACTATACTGAAAGGTTTAGAACACTTCTAATCATGTGCAAAGAAAATTGATTATAGCAATGTTGTAGTGTCCCTAGAAGGCTTCTGTAGGAACCTGTCATTTTGGCTCAAGCCCAGGCTGTGGTATTTCTCTGAGCCAAGATGGCTTCTGAGCAGGCAGGGATCTGGAAGCAGGTGTGTGTTATTGAGCTGGACACACCTGGGCATTCCACATGAGGATTTAGGGATTTGGGGATTGGTTCCCACCTTTCCTTTCAAAAGGCAAATGAGAGGTGGGCTGGGAAGCCTTTTTCTTCTGCCCTGGGAAGAATGGAGACTGGCAACTGAAGCTCTCCAGTAGGGAGGGGAGATCCTCAGCACTGCATCTGTGATGTGGAACCAAGATCTGTGGTTTGTATGGGGCTCCTCTGACCTTCTGTCATGTCCTTGAGCCTGCTCTTGTCACATCTGTCATGTCTGTACAATAAAGTCAAGGTGTCACTGGAAGTCTCGTGTGTACAGCCATTAACTTCTATGAACTCTGTCTTCTGGTGTTGTGAATCCCACTGGATTGTCTCTGATGCTTTATTGATCCATGGGAGGATAGTAATTGGTAACGGTACCCTTATGGTAGCTTTTCTCAGGCAACAGTGCCACCTGGAGGAAAATTGCTGTATCTTAACATGCATGATGAGGGAAAGGTGGGGATACGCACCGATTGGTCTAAATAGTGACAAAATCACACTTTGCACTAACACGTACCTTCAGTTATGCAGTCGTCACACCTGTAATACACATATTAAATAGCCTGAGACTTTTAATCGCTTCCTGACTGGTTTCAGTTAACACAGCTCAGAAACCAGAGACAAGCTCTATTGTTAGCTGGGGGGGCTAGAGTACCTCTATCTCCTATTGGTCAGCTGTTCATATACTGAGGAGCTGTTCCTATTGCAAACTTTATCATTGGTCAATACGACGAGGCATCTATTCAATTCCTATTTGCCAGACGTGGGAGTTTAGAAGTCAATCAGATCGTCTTCTAGATGACGATCTTCATACACTCCTCTCTGAAACAGGATGTGTTTGAAGTTCCTAAAAGTACAGAGCTGGTAGGATTTCAGAAAGACACATTTTGACTAAATTAAATAGAAGGCAGCCTTATATACTCTGAATCCTTTTAACGTCTTCTTACTCTTAGCATTATAACGACCACAAACGAGTTAGAGCATAGCTCTTATTATAAGCATCATGTTTGACAACAGAATCCACCTTCAACAAATGTGTGTGTAGGTATGTAGATGTATATAAAAGTTTCTCGTGTATATCTTGTATGATGTTTATTGCGACCGATGTGGGCGTTGTTTATATGCAAACTAATCGGTTTCGGTTTGACTGCGTGTATTACGGTGACCGGGAAGTGTGGCCGCCATACTGTGTCCATATAGCAATTAATTGTAACAATTTGGGACAGAGTGTTACTGTGGTCACTGAAGCAGGAGACGATTTGTATTGACTAACTATAAATCAAGTAAATGCAATGAAAACTAAGTAAAAAGTACGTAATTTAAAAGCTATGAAAGTAATACAATTTGCATTTTACCCTAGTGCCGTTATTTATGTACAAAACAATTTAATGTTGTCAGCTATCGCCTACACTTGAGGCAGGCTTTGACATTCATGTACAATTTTTACAATTGGAACAGTCCAGTAGTCATCCTGTAGGGATGGTACAGCCACCATTCAAACACACGACACAACATGAAGAAAACCCAGACTTCCTGATACAGGGGAGTATCAGGCAGGATGCCAAGTTTGCACCATGAGTGTGTGAGACGAGAGATCCCTATATCTGTGTGAGATAGGAATCCCTGTATCTGTGACAGTGCTGCCTTTCTGATGAGAGAAAAAGAAACGTTAGTGTTCACTTGCTAATGAAAGGACTCTCTCCAGTTTTAATCGGAGTATTTCAGACCTGAAGGCTTCTTCTTCTGGGAAGGAGAGATCCTGCACACTGAGCTCATTGGACGACACAGCTGCCACAATGCAGGTAGGAGTATCTCTGCTCTGCCAGCGCACAGCCTGTGTTTTACAGTCCAGGTTATTTTGCACAAAGCACCTGTCAAATGTAAAGCACTTTGTAAAATACCATCTCTTCCCTCATGTTTTCTTGTGTCTGTCAGTATCATGTGTGCCACTGTCCTTCTCCAGCAGTGTTTGGACATGAACTGGATTCACTAAGCATATCTCTGTCCACTTGCTTCACTGGAAGAATGTGTGAATGTTCTTGTAAAATGCTTATTCATGGAAGATAAACTTTTGGTGTTTGATTTCACATCACTTTGTTCTGAACTATGAATTTCTGTTTGTATAACTTTTGTGATGCCACCACGGGCACTGCACTGACTAGGAGGTACTTTAAGAAGATTTTGCTCAGACTGTTGATCTCATTAAGATGGCGGAACTGAAGTACTGCAACATAAAGAGCCACAATGACAATTGGGAGTTTGGGCAGGCATTTAAAACACTTGTGTATATTTCTCCCGAAGCCAATTATAAAACCGCCTCAGAAATTATTTATCGTTATATGCAAGACCTTGAATTAATATCACTTGATTAATTAGATTAATTTTGCAATATTTTAATGGCTGTTTGCTTAAGTCAGTTCTCCCTAATGATGATCAGTCTGTAAAAGGCTACACAAGAGGTTCTAGAACATTAGATCCCTGTTATGGTAACATTAAGAATGTCTGTAAAGTTCATATCAAACCACCGACATGATGATTTGACTTAGTCCAAAAAGAAAGAGCAGGAATTCAAAGCTGTGATAGTTTGAGGGGGAAAGTGATTCAGAGGAAGATATAGGAAGAACTGAAACAAGCTTAAAGAGATTATAATTCCAAGGTGGAGAAACGAATGAATAGAAATAATGTACAGGAGGTGTGGCATGGGATCTAAACTATGATTGGCCAGGTGCCCCTTAGTAATGGGAGCTGTCTTGAGCACACACCCCTATGTAAATGAACTGAATTTTTTTTTTTCTGTTCGAGAGTAGAGAACCAGGGGAACCTATTTTTCACACCGTCATTGGGTCCTTTGGTGTGTCTCCCTTTACTATTACAACTCAACAAATGGAATGTGTATTTTGGCAATGAAATACTCAAAGAGCCTGGAAAATCTGGAAGACAATACTTTGCAGAAATCTCAGTTGTTAAATAACATAAAAAAGATTGTCTGGAGGTAGGGATCTTATTACTGTTACTGTTGTCTTAGATTCTTCACTAGCGAATTGACTGTTTTTAATCTTGTGATAGTGGATTGAGTTTGAAAGAGTAATGTTTTGTGTCATGGAATTGTACTGTTGTTGCTGTGTTGTCATATATGCTATAGGTTTATGAGCTCTTGATGTGCAAGACAAATTCTCTTAGAGGCAATAAAGGTTAATTCATTCAGTGAAATCGTAATCGTCTTTAGAAGGGACTGAACGAGGATGAGAAAAAAGGGAAAGTTAAAATGGGCTTAACAAGCACACAGTTACTTTTTAATTCAAGGAGGGAGGTTTGTTTTGTACGGGTAAGAAGACATAGTTGGATCTATTTTTGAGGGAGAAAATTCAAAGATTTATTTTTTACTTTGAGAAGAAATGTAGCTTTTCATATGGGTACATTATTTGTTTTCCAGGGTGTTTTGGAGAGAAGTTGCTCTGTGTTTGCTTGTTTTATTTTATCAGGGTAGACCTGTGTTTTTAACTGTTATTTGCCTAAGGTGTGTTCTGGTCTTGGGTTCCATCTACTGATCGACCCGACAGATGACTGTGACCCCCGCGGCATCACACTTTCATTTAGTTTACGTTGAATACTTATTACCTAAGAGCAACGTGTTTTCAACTAAAGAGTTTTATCTGGGACTCGGTATTGCTAACAGGTAATTTTACATGCTCCTGCACTGACTACTGTACGAAGCATGTCGAGTCCAGACTAACCCCATGATTTAGATGAGATAAAAGGTTATGAGCATGAATGGTATGATTTCAGGGCCACGTTGTCCTAACAGAAACCCATCCCTGACACTTGCTGTTATTTTAGACAGCTTTAATTGGATTAGGCTTGTCTGGCAATTTGTTTTTATCACAGTTATTTAAGATAATATTTTACATACAGCTATATAATTGTTCATAGATAATGATTGAACAGTACGATTTGTACTGATTCTATTTTCCTCTGGGCTTGAGCAACTCTCCCTCCCTGTGCTGACAACCCAATTCTACAGAAAACCTGTCATGAGTTGTTTTGTACTGTGGGAATTATATTTGTATGTGTACTTAAATGTTGGTGTCTGTATATATACAGTATATATTAGTGCTCTGGGGTAGTGTAAAACTAGCCTGGGGAAGGCCAATAACTATCTGAGTAACACAAAGGGGTGTTGGGCAGGTTGTTGTCCTTTTCGAGTGTGAAACCTAAAACAATTAGGCTCATAATGATTTTCAATATCAATTATTATACATGAAACAGACATTGAATGGTTACATAGTAGTTTTGGTTCTACAGTAGGTAGCCTTGTATCACAGTGAAATCTGTTTTTATATTTGTTTATGGGGGAATGATTGTATTTCTATATTATATAACTCTCAACAGTGCTGACAATCGGGCCTTTCCCCTGAGTCCTTGAGCTGGGGGGATCATGAGGACCACCTGGACACTCAACACGGTCTGCAGCCTCACCTGCGTGAGAGGTCATTCTGAACAGCAGGTTCTTACATCATTAAGAGGGAGGAATGATGCAGGGTTTTGTCTTTCAGGGGTTTAAAAGATATCACATTCCTAATTCTTTTAAGAAATGTTGATATGAAAACATAAAATAATAGAGTGATCATTTTATCACTCGATACACATTCTCTGTTTTCAGTAAATAGCTCTGCACCTGGAGTAACAAATGTTAAATGTTGTATCTCTTCATGTCTCTTGTTTTTCTAGGAATCAGTTGGTAGTTTAGTGTTTCATGTTTTGTTTTGTGAAAAAAAAGGAAATGTAAACTAACTTTGTAAGCAAACAAAGAATGGTTTTCTTTATGAAATGTCTTTTTCTGAGTAAACATCATTATGTTTATGGTGTGGGGTCTATACAGATCTCTGAGACCTGGAAAGACACTAGGATTGATTTATATTTGATATGTTTTTGTCCTAAAGTAGTAAATAGTAAATATTTTAAAGAGGTGTTGAGCTGGATTCTGCTTCATGCACATTAAAAGTTAATTCCTTGAATATGTAAATATATGTGTATCTTAATCCCTACTAGTTAAATTGTCTTAGCTTTTTAGCCTGTTCTCAAAATACCTACTTAAATGTGGAATGGTGTTCAGAGGGGTAGCATTGTGAAGTAGATGGTGAGGGTGTGTGTTATAGCATCACACAGGTGTTAATTAACCATCAAATGATAGTCCAGCAAAAAGGCTGCTCAGCTCATACAGGACTGTGATCTCATGGTGTGCTCAGCCACAGGAAAGCACACTAAACCTCTCACTTATTTACATTCTCTCTCAAATTCTTGCCACTGAGATGAAATTTCTACACAAAACTTTGCAATTAACATTGGAGACTCTTGTCTCTGTTTCCAGTTTCTCAGGAGTCAAGCTGCAAACAGGACTAGAGCTGCTCTCCCAGATCCTTATTAGCGCTGGACCCAGTCTGGACAAGAGCAATATTCACTTAGAGGGGGCTGTGATATTAAGCAAGTGTCTCTGAAGAATTATTTTACTAATAGGAATTGTGCTAGCAAGCAGTTGCCTGTGCACAGGGTGCATGCCTTTGTGTACATTCAAGCAAGAGCTGGTGTTTTACAGGTAAGAAGCTTGTACAACGACTGCCATGGATAAAGATGAAGCACCCTCAATTCATGACTGACAGCCACTCCGCAGCCTGCACGGGCAAAGGAAACGCATGTAGGCTCCCTAAAGAAATAGTAGGATGATCCCCTGTGGAGATGCGCTCTTCCTGCATAAGGTGACCCCACCAAGATACCCAATTTGGTTCACAAAACAAGTCTAAGAACACCAATTTATTTCAAAAATTGAACAAGAAATAGTACAGTCGCAACCCGGGCGGCTGTTATCCAGACGCTCCGGCGGCCCGCAGTCTGGAGCCCCGGGAGAGGAAACGCTCCAGTCAGGACAGCCGGCCGGAGAGACGGTGGGCACCTGGGACCGCGAGGTGAGTCCGGCTGCTCTGCGGGAACAACTGCTGCTGCTTGAACAGGGGAGAAAAGGCGTTTCTAATACATATAGGCGCAAGTTCTGGCCTCTCGCCTTAGCCCATACAAAGGTAGCACCACTTCTGGAAAGCAATAAGGTTTATTCGCAGGGAGGTGTCCAACGGAGCGAACCCGTGTTTTACCCGTACTGACCATTTCCCCTCCCCCCTCCCTCCGATTAAGTGTGCGCAGCTGTGGGCTTCTTCACAATCTACTGCGCTGCCATACTGAGAAAAGGCAGTATCTGGGATTTCTCCGACTACAAACACAAAGCTCTTTCTTTAAACCCGAAAGCAAGAGGCTCTCCAAGCAGAGTGCAGACCGGTTGGATTCTCACCGAACTGATCGCTCATCTGTGCAGTTTCACGCCACACGGGAGCTCTGCGCTTCGGCGTCCAGGCTGTTGTAGAGGACAGGAAGGCCGGGGAGCTGGAGAGGAGAAACAAGGGAATAAGACACCTGCTGAAACACCACTAACAGACCTGAGCAAGCACTAAAGATACAGGTAGCCATTTTAAATAGCAGCAACAACGATCCGTTCCATATCGCCTGTTAAACTATATGAAAGTTGTTTGTTTAGTTTGAGTTCAACGTCTCTCTAAAAACCAAAAAGCCTTTTCTAAAATCCAGGCCCTGGCCGCCTTCTTAATTATTCTGAAGCTCTGATGCCTTCTCTCATTAAATTTGAACTGTTTCCATCCAAATAGGAAGAAAACGTGTCCGACACTCTGCTGCTCAAATAAAACGAAACACCCCGAGATTATTTTCCTCCACCTACAAAGCCGCTATTTAAGGACAAAGACGTAATACTACTGCTGCCAGAGCAATTTTTAAAGGAGACTAATTGAAGGCGGATAAAGATTAATCACACCTGCCTCTGGACTGTTAATTAATTAGAAATGTGTAAAACATGGACTGGATCCTGGAGTTGGCATGGATCCCTCAGTCTTTCCGACAAGTAACTGGAGTCAATCCCATTCCATACTTTTAACTGATCCGGTGATGAAATAACCTTATTGAAACTTTAATTGAGGATTTACGATTTGTTTGCAGTTTAATTCAAAATACAATATTCATCCCCATCTATCATCAATAGTAAGAGGTTAGAAGGTAGCTACACCCTTGCACGAGAAACAGTTTCAGAATTCCCGTCTTTTAGCTTTGGGTCAAGCGGTAAGAATTATACTGTTAGTGTTTGACAGTCAGTCTCACCTGTGATTACTGTACTGTGATTACTGTACTGTACGTCACTCACTGACCGTGGTTCCCTTTTCACTGTAGAACCTGTGTATACAGTGTAGAACACGATATAGACTTTTAATGGCTTTTTGAAGTAATCAAAATGAATTTGCATCTCCTAAACACCTGTCGCACTCTGCTTCCACTAGTTTATTGTCAGTTGTCGGATATTCATAAACAACACTTTCATTACCTGCACTGTGCACTTGACTACCATAACTTTCACATATTATAGTATATGAAATAATAGCGTCTCTCATAGTAATAATAAGAAGCGATGTGATGCCCCATTTATTGCAAAACTAACTTTTACATCCTTGTCACTGTTCTGTTTTCAATGTTTTAATGAATACTTTTTCAATGTTCACTTTCTAGTTACATGCATGGCTTTTTATTTTCAAATCTTTATTCTTTAAACTTCTGTGTGGAACCTTGTCAAACACCCATGGAAATATAAATATACTATGTCGTGACACCTACTGTTCTTAAGGAACTAAATGGATATTCTGCCCGGACACCAGCTGGAGTATAAAACATTTAAACCAATTTAATCGTCCATGTAGTTTTTGTTTAAGATTTCTTCAGAATCATAACAGACATTACAGAATCATTACAGACAAACAGGGGAACCGCCTCCTCTTGGAACTGTGACTTG